TTCTCTGGGCCTAAATCGCTCTGTCCTGTGGTTATACTTATTTTCTCTATAGATCTTAGTGTTATTGTTTGATCAATAAAATATTTACTGTGACACGACTAACATTAAGCTGCAGTTGAGATACTCCGAATATTCGTTGCTTTACTTCAACAAGATAGATCCTGTGGTTGTTTCTATAACCACTCGTTTCTCGTTATGTTTGACCTATCTTCTGATTAGTTGTCGTTCACTTTAAATAGTGACTTAGACCTGATGATATTTAATCATCTTATTTTTTTAATATTCTATACGTGTTCAATTTACGATTCGACTGCTTGTTTTGCTAAGACGGTTCGTCCTTGAGTTTTTAATGAATCGAGCGCTTTATGAATAAACCAATTTGTTATTTAATGTAATAAATTTTTTCATGTTTTTTGTCGAAAATATCATGAGTATTAATGGTTATTGAACCATTAATCATTGATTCTATGTTTAAACTATTGTAAATAAATAAAACTTGTTGAATTCCAACCAAATATGAAATTATAACTGTAAAACAATTTTTTCCAGTGAAATAGTATTTGTAAATCATAATTGTAAGATAGCGCCGTATTTTTTATTACTGTTTACTGCTACGATAGCTGAAGTATAATTGAAGACAAAGAAGTTATAATCATAACACTAATAATAATAATAATAGTAATAATAATAATAATAATAATAATAATAATAATAATAATAATGGTATTGACGCCAATAAATATAAATATGATGCACATGACTGACTGAATTAATGTTACGCAGAAAGAGAAACCATAGATTACCTTCGCATAATATATATATATACCTGAGAATTTGTCTCACACACAGATTATTGCAATAATAATTCTTGACGATTTTAAATTTGTTTTTAACAAATTATCTGAACAGTTCATTATGTCAGAATTTAAAATTTCACTGTGAATTGGTTTATTTATCAATTAAGTATCCAAATAATTTATACTGAAGATTATTTATTGAAGTACTTTTTTCAAATAAACAATTAAATATCTGATGAATGTGAAATTCACAAATGCTTTTTTATCAGTATACTTTAATATTAATAATAACAAATTATTAAAATAGTTAGAAGATAGATGTTAGGCGAAATAGAATTTAACAATTGAACTCATGAATTAATATAAGCTAGACCACCGTTGAAAATCTGGAAGCAATGGACGACCGTCTCTTACTAGTATGGGACACATTAGCAGTCCGCATCCACGATCCTGCAAGTGAGACTCGGAGAAAGGACCTTCGATCTCGCGTGCGAACGCTTACCCTCTAGACAACTAAGCCAACATCCAATGGTGTTTTTTAAAAATACTACAATCTCCACAAATTATCATCATAATAATAATCATGTGCTCACCAATAACTGGCTTCAAGATGGATTTCATGGAGCCCTAGTGAAAAGCAGTGATCAGTGGAGTTCGATCAGTGTCGAGTGGAGACACTTATCCATCTCAAATAATGAATGAAGAGTTGGACAAGATCATGGATTGATTAAAGTTAGCCACTAACACAGTTGAATTCCAGTTCAGTAGTTTAGAGGGTAAGCATTCGCACGCAAGACCGAAGGTCCTATGTTCGAGTAACATATATAGGATCGTGAATGTGAACTGATGAGGAGTCACATACTAGGACGAGACGGCTGTCCATTGCTTCCAGGTTTTCAATGGTGGTCTAGTTTAGATCGACTCATGAACTGAACTGCTAAAATTACTACAATCTCCACAAATCCCCATTCTGGTAAAAACTGATTTTATTTCGTAACAATTAACTTAAACAGTGTAATTTATGAATGACTTTTTGAATTATCAAGTTGTTTGAGTATAACAACATATGAAAGTTAGTAATATGTGTTTTTTCAGGTATTTCATGGTTTCGTTGGCAGAATATCGACAAGTAAGATACTCCTAGCTGACATTTATTATATCTAGTGACATTTTCGCAATATAAAGTGTTTGTCAATGGAGACTGCTAGTTATTGGAAATGACTACTTAACTCTAAGTTGAAATTCCCAAGTACGAGTGAAGAAATGTCAATGAGAGGGTTGTGGGGATTCAATATTGAAATTTTTTATTTACAGCTGGAAAGTGGCGCAGATTCACTTACTGTAGTATTCCAAGGTATTGTAGATTAGTAGCGCAGGATACAGTTTTTTTACTTGTAAACTTAGTAATGATATATTGAATTCCCAATTAAATGAGATGTATGATTACTTGGGTGGTCTATATTTTAATGGAATAAATGTGATATGATTAGTTGAATTATTCAGAGATTACCCTGTTAATCAATATTCTATAATAAAAAACTAAATTAACAGAAAAATCGAACAGAAATAACAGATGTGTAAAACTATACAATGACTCGTCGAAAGTACAAGTAAATTTATTCGAAGTTACTAAACGGTAGTGAAATAGATTAAGTACTTTAAGCAATAATTATATTTCAATAGACTTTTGAGCAATACATTTGTAAGATATTATCCATACTTCAAATTGTGTTAACGATATGCACAAATGAATATTGTTGAGAACATGAGCCACAAGTTTTTAAAGGAATACAATTTGTCATAAGGTATAAATCGATTATTATTATTATTATTATTATTATTATTAGTTTAAGGAGGTTGTTACTGAATACAAATGTAATTTATCTAACCTGGAATATTCAATTTGAAAGTACATATTTGGTTTTATTTAAGTATACAGACTAAAGCTGACTAAAGCTGAAATAAAACTTAACTGTAGTCAAGTTTCCCCTTCTGCTGTTTAATCAAATCAAGAAAAAATTTTGAAAAAAATATTGATATAAGTTTGATCAGCTATGAGAATTCGGAATAAAGCAGTTGGATTTATAGTTTACACTAGTTTAAATGAATCGTGTGGGATCGTGGATGAGCACCCCTGAGGAACCCCATACTAGAACGAAACGGCCTTCCATTGCTTCCACGTTTTAAATGGTGGTCTAACATTGATCCATTCATGATATCGATCTAAACTCAAAAATCTCCACAACCCTATACTGAAAATCGCTTTATTTCTGTCAAGAGTGAATATGGAAATTGTTTTCACTGAAGTGAATAACGTACATGACTGTAATTTTATGTAATTTCAACCTTCAAAATGGCCCATGTTGTTAGGATTCAAGACTCAATCTATATTTACAAAGTATTTTTGCAATAAACTACTGGGTAATGTGATCCCATTCATAATTGTATTCTTCAGTATATGTCTTGAGATTATTTTAGATAGTATCCGATCTATTCTTCCTACTTACATGTCATTTCAGGTGTGAGTAAATACAGGAGTTAACCAAAAGAGGTCCGTTATCTTAGTTATCTTCTCCGAGTAGACTTTTGTTTCATAAGTGACAATTAACTTGAGGTTACGAAAGATCAGTCCAAAGTCGTTACTTAGTGGACTGCTATTCAGAGAGCTGGAACAATTCCCTTTGATTAGAATTTTTTTGAGAGCTATTTACTTTTTGCCTAATTTCATTTGTTGACTTTGAATACTTATTGATAAACATCGAAATTAAGTATTCCAAATCACATTTTTAACACCATCTAAAACTCATATTAATAAAAAATGCCTGAATTATAAATAGTCATAAAATTAATACTCTGTATATATATATTTCATAATAAAAATAACAAGTTTTGGGGATAAGTCTTAAAAGTGCAATGTTTAATAGTTCTGATTTTTGGTAATAAGTCAACTATTTTGAAGAGATTTATCAGATATCATATGAATATTTATAAAATGATTTGTTATAACTGTTACATTCTTATCGAACTACTACTAATAATGTTTATTAGCTTTTCTAATTATAAATGAAAATATCTTAATCATGTCTGATAGATAATTAATATAACTGAATAGTCTGCACAATCCAATTATTCTTAGTTACTGACAGATACATTTCAACTGTTTAAAACAAATTAGTTGCAAAAATCATATCATGCTGATACTAACAAGTTTCAAAAATCTCACTATCGGTTTTCTATATATATGTCTTAAACAGATTAACTCATCTATGAGAATTTCCAAACACAAAAGAGAATACACTGTCTAAACCTAACGGCTGTTAAACCACTTATTAATTCTTAGTCAAGTCAACTAGATCTTCGTATATTATAGAAAATACCCATTTAGTTAGAGTTAGAACATAGTAATTTCCTCATAACTTACGAAATACGTTTCTGTACTGCTTTTAACGTTTATTTAGTGTTCATTAAGTCGGTAGATTATGGTCAGCAATAGAGACGGAATGTAGTCGTAGTTAACATTACCTCTACATTGTATGATGTTTTCTAAATTAATATTATTATGAATATTATCAAGTCTTACAAATGAAGTGTGTAAAATTTTCATGGGGAAATATAGAAACCTAGATATCATTATTTTACAATTGAATTTAGTTATCATCGATATTATTATTCAAAGAGATGTCGAAGATTAGGTTATTATGTTGTTAATGAGTTTTTTTGAACAATCTAAATTTAAGCAACTTCGTGTCAATGTGAGTTATCCTCACTACTTGAAATATGAGTGTTAATACGAGGTCAAAATGGTATTTTTAATCCCAAAAATTAAAGTAATTTTTAATACAAATTGACTGAACATACAAACGCTTCTGTTCAGCTTTACTAATTTGAATTCCCCTTTGGTCTCAGTTTTTTCGACTATATTTCGACTATATATTTTGATTGGTTAACTGTACGGCAGTTTGCCTATTGGATGATTGAAATTTCAAATCTAAAATAATATTTTGATTGGACGGATCAGTAATAAAATTTTACAATGTGTTTGATACAATTATTGTACAGATTTATACTAAACTAGATTTTTCTTAATGAACTTTTCCTAATGAAGACAAAGCAATCGACTGGTTAATTTATCAACGGAGAATTTTTTTGACGACATTCCACTATCTGCCCAAAATCACAATCGAGTTATTTAAAACACATGATATGGAACAAAACATAGATCCTTCCACAATAACAGTTGGCTTGTATACTGCTTCAGAAAATACAGATTCATGTTTGAAACGCCTTGTCACAAAGTCACCATTAGAGGCAATGGCACAAAGATTTGGTCATGTAGTTCGCGAATTTCAGATCAACTTACCGTCTCAGATAAACAATAGATATGATAGTTTACAATATTCTAGTGATTTTACCACCTTCCCAGTTAATCCTAGAACTACTTCCTCTTCGTCACTAATGTATCCGTATTTCACCCCCATCCCTCAACTACACTACTTCAATGTTGCTACTACTACTACTACTAATAATACTACTACTACTACTACTACTACCACAGTAACATCAATAGCAACCAATACTATTGTCAGTAACATTCTACCGGATCGTACTCCTCACAGTGTTTCTAAACTTCCTCTTCTGTTATCGAAGTCATCGTTTGATTATTTCCACTCTAAATTATGTGAAACAGTTTCAATATCGGAAAATCTGTCTAAGATTACGTCATCCGGTGCATTAAAACAAAGTTGTAGTAGTGAATTGCATAACATGAATGACATTGATACTATGACTGAAGATTCCAGTGGTCCTTTTATATCATCACATGTTTATACATTAAATTCAGTACAACATTCTTCTCCTGAAAAACAAAACTTTCGAAATTCATTATGCGTTAAATCAAACCATTTAAACAGTTTACATGAAAATCAGTTCAATGAAACAAATAAATGTGAACTGCACTCAGCCGTAAACGAAGCTACAACTTATGGTTTAAATTTATCATTTCAAAATAACATGACTAATCGTGAGAGAATATACCATAATTTTGAAAACTGTCATCATAGTTTCTTGAATGGAACTAATCACTGTAATATGTTGAATTCTAATAACTTATCAATATTGGAGTGTAAGAACCACTCATATCCCTACAATTTAATAAATTCGAATCTCTGCCTTTCTAAATGTGAATACACTGAGGCATATTCATCACCAATGTTCAATAATTCTTTGGAATCATATAATTGTCCAGATCATTCTGTAAAATATCCAACTTCATCATCAAATATTTATTTGAACAAATCAGTACCTATGTTTTGGTCAAACGATTGCAATAATCCAAATGTGAAACCCCCATTTTCCTACATTACACTGATTGTTTCTGCAATGAATTCAAAATTATCAAAAAAGATTACATTGAATGAAATTTATGCATGGATTATGCATACATTTGCTTATTATCGTAAAAATACAAGAAGGTCAGTATTGTGAGTTGAAGTAAATAAAACAGATGCCAGGTGACTTGTCGAATTTTAGACGTAATTGAACAAGAGTAAGGATAACAAAATAAATGGGAACGTCAACACTTGAATTTAAACTTAAATAGATATTATCAATGCTAAGTTTTAAAAGTTTAGTTATTCGATAAGTGCTATGATTAATACATACATGTAAGATATGGCAATCTTTAAACTAATAAGCTGTTGGAAATTACTTTGTAATTTTCCTAAGTTAGCTATTATTGCTTTTCGTTTGTACCCAGTTAAAATTGAAGCATCGATAATGGTCATATAAGTGAATCAGTAACTAAAAGTCATAACCAAACAATGCTTTACCGATGGAATACTTTATTTTATATTTGACCACAGAATAATAATAAAAATACATGTGAATATATATATTCCGAACTTCGCCTTGGCACATAAACGAAGTAACAGATATATATATATATATATATATATATATATATATATATCAATCTTGTTTTGAAATTAATTTGTAAACGATGCAAGATTGAAATATCACAAATAAAATAAAGTACATTTCATGAAACCATCTCATTGATTGCTTCCCTCACGGGATGATCAGTTAAAATTTGTTTTTTTTAAAATCTATATGGTTGCGCAATAAAGAGAGCTGACTGAGGTTATGAATAGAAACCATTGAATGTAGGACTCACTAGTCTGAATGCTAGGTGCTCGTCACGAGACCTGAAGATCCTAGGTTCGATCCCCTGTGTGGTCGTGAATGCGCGTTATCAAGAAATTTCATTATAGAGTAAGATGGTTATCCACTTTCCCTTAATTTTCATTATCCACAAACCTCCTTTGCTGATAAAAATTATTTGTTTCAACCTGCCTACTCAGTTTAAAAAAACGATTACAACTTCAAAGAAAGAATCTAATCTGTTAGTGTTGTCATGTTCTCTAAGATAAATGCTTCAATTCGCAATATTCTTCATTATCATATTAAACAACATCAGTCGCCTCGATTTTTATGTATAGGAACTGGACACTAATTATATATATATATATATATATATATATATATATATATATATATATATATATATATATATATATATATATATATATATATATATATATAATAGGCATATCAACGTTATTTTATATCGTTTATTAATACAAACCAGTTTGACATCATACTATGTTGAAATCATGTGGCAAATTATAAACAACTAGATCGAGATCCAATATTCAATTTTCTGGTATTTGAATAAAATGGATATTTTTTCTAGAGAATTTTTAATAAAACTAGGATATTAACAATTTATTTATCCTATTTCTTTCCTTATTTTTTAAATGGATATAGATGGCAAAATTCCATAAGACATGCATTATCATTTAATGATTGTTTTATTAAAGTACCACGTCCATCTGGTGAAGCTGGTAAAGGTTCTTATTGGACAGTTCATCCTTTAGCCATAGACATGTTTGATAATGGTTCATCAATGCGACGCAATCGTAAATTTGTTGACGAGAATCGTTATCGTCATAATCATAGTCATGCAACCATACACATGAATGGAAAAAAGTTTGCATCTGTTAAAAATTATGAAATTAATTTATTAAATCATGCTCCTCATTATCACTATCAATCACAAATAAATATGAATAAAAGTAACAATGTACAATGGTCAATTATGATTAAAAATAATAATAATAATAATAATAATAATAATAATAATAATAATAATAATAGTAATATACAGGATGACTTCATTTCAACTCACTCAAATTCAGGTGGTCAGTATCATCAGAATGAAGATGATAATGATGTCGATGATGATGATGATGATGATGATGATGATGATAATATTGACGGTTATATGAATAAGTTTACTGGAAAAGTTAAACAATCCACTGTATACAACAACAATGATAATGACATAAACAGTAAAAATCATAATTATAAATATAACTCTAAAGATGATTATATAAAAAAAATAACAATGTTGAATCAAATAAAATCTCCTTCTACCACTACGTAAGTTCGACTAATCATTATTATTAAACTGTACTTAAATGAATATTCACAGTGCTTCATTACATTAAACGAACTACTAACATGTGCAACATTATAAACTTACGCCTGTTACCCCTTGCGAAAGAGTATAGGCCGCCCACCAGCATTTTCCAACCAACTCTAACATCGGAAAATCCTATCCGGTTATTTACAGTGGTTTTTCATTCTTTTGATATATGTTTTCAATTCTTGAAGCAATTTGTTCTTTAGTCTTCCTCTTTTTCGTTTCCCTTCAGGATTCCAAGTTAGGGCTTGCCTCGTGATGCAGTCTGATGATTTCCTCAATGTATGTCCTATACACTTCTAACGTGTTTTCACAATCTCGTTTCAAACTGGAGGTTTGTACGTTCCCTCCCACAGTAGATTGTTGCTGACGGTATCCGGTCAACGGACGTTGAATATCTTGAGTAGACAGTGATTTATAAATACTTCTACTCCTTTGATGACGGTTGTGGCGGTTCTTCAAGTTTCAGGTCCGTACAGTAGAACTGTCTTGACCCTCTTATTGAAGATTTTGACGAATACTTTTTAAAAATTGGACAGTAATTTAAAAGTACATTCAGAACATAAATTTTAAACATGAATTAAGAGTATGAAAGCAATAGAACTTTTCTTTTTGGTTATTAAAAAAAATAGAAGTTAAATTTCAACACTATAAATCATTTGAGTAATAACCCGAATTTCCATTTATTACAGTCAATTTAATTGGTGTATTTGTTAATGAATCTTAAAATATGGCTGAATTGATCTTCTCTTTCTTTCAAATGAATGTTCTTTCTTAAAAAAATACAAAAAAACATGGATAATAAAGTAATGATATGGTAAATAAGTATAATGATTTGATGAGCAGAGGTTGAAATTACAAAACAAATCCGCGACCATTGGAGACAGTAATTCAACTGAGACAATGGATGAAGGCTTGATTAGAATTATAGATCGATTGGAGTTAGACACTAACACAGTTGAATTCCAGTTCAGTAGTTTAGAGGGTAAGCATTCGCACGCAAGACCGAAGGTCCTATGTTCGAGTAACATATATAGGATCGTGAATGTGAACTGATGAGGAGTCACATACTAGGACGAGACGGCTGTCCATTGCTTCCAGGTTTTCAATGGTGGTCTAGTTTAGATCGATTCATGAACTGAACTGCTAAAATTACTACAATCTCTACAAATCGTCATAATGATAATTTCCAATAAACTACTCAGACTTTAAGTGGTTCATGCAGTGATTTCTGTAAATATATTCTAAAATTAAACTGATAGCACCATCTTTTCAAACGTTGAAAATATAAAAAAAACATGGAAAAATAGTTTTGACAAGCTTTACCATGGAGTGTTCGATAGACACATAAAACAACAATAAAATATTAGATCAAAATCAACAATCGTTATCATAGTATAGATACATTATGGTTAGCAGTAAAATCCAGTGTTTGTGTGGTTCTTCCATTTTGGGACTCATTAGACTGCTATACTTAAATCCAAGTGTTGACTCACATTGAAAATAAAACATAGTACCTTTTGCTTCAATTTTTTTGACGTTATCCCGTCAACTGCTGTTTTGATGAAGCACTGTCAGACAGAAACCTTCCAGCAACATCCAGAAAAATGAAGTTTTATGTACCACACTCAGATTGAAAAAGTAGTCATTTTTTGTAAATTTAGTATGTTCCCAGGATGTTATAGTAAGTCAAGGTCATTGGTAAACTTCTACAAATAAACTCACTTGAAGTAAAGCTTCATGTCTAGCTTAACAACCTTATTTTACTGTTTGAGTTCAACCGTAAGAGTGGTGTGTTAATATAGAAAGCGGTTGAGAAATCTATAGCAAGCGTTTAAGTATCAAACTTATCAATATTGTCCGTTGTCGGCTGCCTATGCTTCATTGGGAGTAACAGGCGTAAGTAAGTAAGTAAATAAAATAATATTCATAGATCTATAACCACAGAAACTGGAAAATAACCAATTAAAAATAATTACATGCCTAAATATTTTGCTGTTTTCATATTTTTCTTCAGTTGCCTTTACTCGGCCTAACACATTACTGGACTTTCACATTTGATTTTTTTTCATAAAGAGAGAAATCATGGAAAACTTTATCCATACCATCAGATACATTAAACTGTTTAAATGATTGCATTCATCATATATATGGTAGTAATAATAATACTAACAATAATAATGATAACAATAATAATAACAACAATTATAATAATTCTAAATATCTTCCTCCTCCTCCCTTTCATCACCATCATCGTCACCAGAAGAATTTAAATTTGGATGCTAGTACATTCCATGACGATTATTCCGTAAACGATTACAAATGTGAAATGATTTTTTCAACATCGTCATCGTTTTCCACTTCATCTTCCCCTTCTTCTTCATCATCGTCGGCATTTTCTTCTTCTTCCATTGCTATCGCTACTCTCTATTCTTCACCAACTTCATCAGAATTAATCTGTAATCCAAATCGATATCATCATGATATCCAATCACATAATACATTAGATTATCAATATATTAATCATTATAAAAATCAATTAAATCCTTGTTTAACTTTATTAAACAATTCTTATCAGAAATCAATTAATTCCTTACAGAATTTATTCAATTCAGAAAATATCGATGATAAAACTAGTAATAATAACAGTAGTGATGATAATAACTGGAATACAATTAATGGCAATAATGAAAACAGTATTGGTACATATGATAATACCGATTACGATGACAATGAAGGCAATATAATTGATTCAACGGATAATAATAAATTATTATCACGAAATACAATTAAATGGTATAAAGAATTTTCTCTGAATCAAATACTTTAATATATATATATATATATATATATATATATATATATATATATATATATATATATATATATATATATATATATATATATATATATATATATATATATAGCGTAATTAATAAATTAGAGTTTTATTAAGATAATAAAGTCTATGATTATTTATTTGAAAGAAAAACATATTTGTGTCTCATAGATAATTGTTTTATTTAAAATGGAAATATAATTCATAAAAAGGAAGATTCAGTGAAAAAAATTCAAGTTGTATACTGTAGAGAAATGGTAAGTATTCTAAATGCGGCTCACCAACTTTGTAGAGGCTAATTTCCTATATATATCTCACTCCAGTAAATAGTACCTGATTAACTGTGGATTCAATATAGGATAAATCTCCTAGTAGAATTATGGATTTATTCGAGATTTATTCAAGAGCCTGAACACCAGTTATAGAGATAGTTTATTGTTAAAGATTAGTAAAATCCGCAAGCATGCAGTAAGTAAGCACATAGGAAAACGAGTGGGTGTGTGAGCGTGTGCGCACTGCTGAGGAGTCTCACAATTAAACGAAACGGCCGTCCAGTGCTTTCAGGTTTTCTATGGTGGTCTAGCTTCAAGTGACTCATGATCTCAACTATTGAGATTACTGTAATATCCACAAAACCCCTTCTGATAATAAAAATCCATATATATTTTTAAGTGTTAATGGATTGTGGATAAATTATTGATTGTCTTTGCTTACAACAAATGGAATAATAGATTAAAGATTGGTGTGTGGACATGCGCTCAACCAGACTCACATAGAAATCTACATGGTGGGGCAAGTGTCTAATTACAGTGAGCAGACAAATAATACAGTAATTGAATGGGATTACTACAATATTTTTAGGTTGAATTAAATAATTTCAAAATGAGATGGTACATTTGGGATGTGGTGAGCAGTGAAATAAAGGATGTGTGTTTCGTTCTACTTGAGACTGGCCAGCTGAATTTATCTCTGCCCAAGTATTGATATTCACACTGAAATTGAAACCTAGTATTTTTAGTTTAAAATATTGACGGGCTATCTACTTAGTTAAGTAGTCAGAATTACCATTTGTTCGATGTATCTTAAGATATTACGAACTTGTAAATATAACTTATGACGTAATGGCTAAATCGAGACAATCAGCTGAGGATACACATATGACACCAACGACTGATCAATCACGATCCTAAATATCAATAGTGGGCAGCTGGAAACTAACTGGTAAAATCAACTTGGTTTTGAATCAAAATAGAAACATTAGGTTTGTAGTTAGATTGATGAAAAACTGGTTGGTAGAGAGGTATCTCATTGATTAGAACACTTGAATTTAAATCATGGAACGTATTGATCTAAATCTTCCTCAACATATTTCCGTGCGGACAACCGTATGGTCTAACCAGCCTTTCTAAACGAGTTATGTTACGTTCAAAATTATTAAACAGAAAGCAATTAGGATGAATATCAAAACCGATATTCTCAAATGAGTAATTAATCAAGATGTAAAACTCCCAGGTTTAACGAATAAACATTAAAATCGCAAACAGTAAACTTTATGCTTCAACAAGTATAAAATTGATTTGGTCGAGCTTTTTCATATAGAAACTTTTGTTCATTTCAAAAATAGTTGTTTTACAAAATTAAAATGAACTAGAAAACCAAATGAGAATCGTAGGGCATTAAGTGATGGTTTCGTTCGAGTTTGAGACACATCAAAAGTGTGTGTATCTATAGGCTCATGCAAGACAGAACTTGGAATTTTCAATCCGATAAAAAATATCATTCAATGAATTACGTGATTGTTGATGTAAATCGTTCTGAAGATTACAACATTCCAATAGTAATTTCCGAAATTAATCCTGAAATTAATACCTGATGAACATAAAATAAGAAGCACACAGTTATGTGTTTGATGGTGATTTGTACAGCTTGATATCATAATTATTTAAATACAAAACTAACTAGCTATTACCTTCATTAACGAAATATACAATACGCTGATGAAATTTCATAAAGTACAAAGTAGGTTTCAGAAGTTGAATTCTTAAACTATCTCAATTTTTAATTTATTTATAAGTTATCGACGTTGATCTTAATATACATGTATGGATTATCATCATCTGATTTAACTTAAACAATTAATTTTCTTTATGAAGGGTGTCTTGTAGAAATTTTGTATTATTATTTACCCGTCTTCTCACTATCAATTTATACTTGCCATTCATTATTTGTAGTTATACATTCTATTTCATTGTGATTGTTGACTTATAAATTACCTTGACTAGTTTAATATTTTCATATATCCACATAAGTACTCATGCGTATTACCGTAAAGCTTAACAACTATCTAAATGAAGATCATACTATTCAGTTATATAAATATATATTATTCAAAAGTGATTTAATAATCCATTGATATTATTTGAACAATAGTATATGAGTTCAGAACCAAAGTGAAATACTTGCTTAGATACTATTTTAATTTTTACAATGAAAATCACTTTTAAATAAATTAAATTTTTTATCATTTTCAAATTTCAAATTCAAAAATAGCGTGTGAATTGTAAGCATAACGAATAGTTTATTGAATAAAATAAATTATAATCCAAAAAATAAAAGTAAATACAATATGCATATATTTATTTTTGATCTAATTGAATAATTAACTTTATTATTATTATTATTTGATTTTTTCAAATAGATTTAATATTAACTAAATGCATGTTTATTGATTTGTTTATAACTTAATTTCTATTGGATAAATTTAAAATATTTGAGTAATGTTCATATCGATGTTATATATAAATATACACCTGACCAGATGTATTTATTCATTAGAAATGTCATATCATCCATTTATAGATGAATTCTTTATAAAAAGTAGAAAACAAAGATTGAGGTGAAAATCTGATACTGAATTTCTCATCTTGTATTATCTTAAACTGTTACTTATTCTTTTTTCCTCTTCTTCATCTTCTTCTCATTCTTTTTAATATAAAGAAAATAAATTTCTGATAAATATGAAGAATTAAATTCTAAAGAATTCAAATTATTTATTTTTATAAAATAATGAAAGGTTCACAGGTTTTATGAAAACATGCATGCAAATGTACGAGAGTGCGTGTATATAGTTAATCATAAGATATACATATAATTGAAAACATTAAAAATATAATAACATGCAGACAATTTATGTGTATATATGTACGTAAACATATATCTTTATATATTAATAGGGAAAAAAATAGGGACACAATGAATCTTCATAGCCTTTTCATATGAATCAATCAGTTATCATCAATAATGTCAGTTATGTGTAAATTTTATTAAAATATGGAAAAATAATCATCAATGTATAATTTTATTATTATCCTAAAGTATGGAGTACATTTATGAGACAATAGCGTGCATTCAAAAAATCCATCTATCAACGATACTCATAATAATAATAATAATAATAATAATAATAATAATAATAATAATAATAATAATAATAATAATAATATGATAATGATAATCACAATAATAATATAGACTAAAAATGAACTAACTTTTATTCTCAATTTTTTTACAGAATAATCTCTGGCTCAATTCCGTTTCATTTATTTCAAACTTGGCAACAGCGTGATGTGAAAAATAGCATTAAAACCGAATGGACAGACTTTTATTTAATCATAAATGTATAGAAGACCAACATTTCAATTGGCTGGTGAAATATGAATTTATTTTAGTATAACACTCTCTTCTTACTAACTATTGAGACAAAAACATATATGACTAATTGAATGATTTTCACAAGCTGTAATTAATGGTAATGCAGTTTGTATCACTTCGTATTTTTATTTAATTAATCAGTCAAATTTATTTGTCATTATTTTATCGAGCTTTGTTATATCAGTCAGCGAATCACATTCGTGATCGATAAAAGCTTGATGATAAAATTTTAGAACATATAATCTGTTAGGATGCGAGACTATATGCTTAACTCAGTATAATTCTTGTTCAGTATTTTTTTTGTCCAAACTTTCGGTATATTATTTATTTTATCTCAGTATGGCATTTATTCAGCCTAATAATCTTTGTATTAATTCATTGTGAATTTCGTTCTTTTTTATACGTAGCAGTTCTATGTAAAGCCTACTTATTTTTAAGTGAATGTATCATTCTTTACTAATAATCGAATGTTACTATAATCAATAAAAAATGAGTGTATCTAATTAAACTGGTTGTCATGACATCAAAGGATGAAATAAATCTGCTTCTGACTTTAGTTTTTGCCTGTTTTCTTGTGTCTCACGAATCTCAATCTCCCTTTGTTCCAAGATCTACTTTCCCAGTTATAAAAGATTTGTTATCCAATGTATTATAGTTCTCATTTGTGAGTGCAAGTTTTCAGTCAGTATAAAAATTTCTTTTATATTTGTCTATCTTATTTTCAACTAGTCCATATGTTGTTGACAGGAAATGTTTAACTGATTTGTATTTTAACTCTTTTCTTTTAAGTAAGCTTGCGATCAACTTCAATGTATTAGTGTTTGCTTATTCGGATTTTAGTACGTGCTATTCCTTAAGCAACTTCGTATTTTATTTATAAGAGCTCACGATGAAAAGTATACATAAGGAAATATTTATTCGACACGAAATACAAACACGTTGGCTGAACACGTAATTGGATATTTGAATTCATGACTGAATTTTCTTTAGGACTGATTCTAATCAATTGCATGGGGACAAATTATGGATGCACCAGAAAGAAATACACAAATCTTTGACCAATTGAATTTTATGTTTTACCGCCTACTACGTTGAGCTAGTTTGACCTTGGTGGGGTTGTCTTCATTAAGCTGTTTATCAATGAGTATTGTAACTTTTTTAACATGACTATTACACATAGGGTACGCATTCATCCGTGTCCCATAACTGTGTCAATGTGTGTGCTATTCCATTTTTTTTAATCTATTTTTTTACTTCTATACTATTTACAGTTTCAGACACAGGATACAGTAATAATGACCAAGCTTGTGATTTAATAAACTGATTAGACAGTATTATTGGAAATGTCTGATTATGAGATAATTTTAGGCAGAATAAATTAAAGGCATGCAGAAGGCTAAGAATAGTTTGTCCTATTTCAGAATTATAAAATGGGAAGAAATCACTCATATTTTTCTTTTTGAACAAAAATGACTTTCAAAAAATGTTTTCATATCACCTTAGAAATTCGATATAAAAGTTTGTTTTAAACATGTCTGTATGTAAACTGTTAAAAAAATAGAGGTAGGGTTTAAGTAAACTCTGGAAATAACTGGTATGCTAATAATAAAATACACAATATTAACTTGATCAGGAGTGTGTCATAGAGTATGGTTTATATTCTAATTAAGACCAACGGCTATATTTCGACATCAGTATGACAAAAGGAAATAGACAACATGAAGAGTTGAGTTGGGTTGATAAAAGCTGATAATCCTGATAGGTACAACTGATGACTGCTTGACTTCCTAAACTTTTCTACTCTGAATTTCATAAAATGTACTAGCATTGTGTCCTGTTTGAGACTAATCAGCTGTAGGTACCTGAATTCTAGAATTGATTCCCACTCCGGGAGTCGAACCCAATACTGTCCGCTTCAAACATCACAGCTTTACTTAGCTACTAAGTTCGAACGACTACTCACTTATGCAATGAGTATGGGTTTTAATTCAATTTGAAATTGACTGGATTATTCCGTTCCTGGTATTTGAGCAGTCTTGGGATTCGTGTCAATCCAACTGACGAGTCCTAAATAGGACAAAATGCGCTTCCTAGCTAAATTCCATCTATTCCGTATTAAATCGTGACGCGATACATATATCGATGCAATGAGCACATGATATACATATCCCAAAATAGAGTGATCAAATTTCAGTCAAAAATATCAACGGGATAATCCAATTTATTTCAAACTGAATTAATTAACTGAGTTCACAACGTATAACCTCTACCTAAATAATTCTTATTTGTTTGGTATTGACTTCTAGAAATCTTACAATATCAATTTTATTTTAATTCATCTAGATATAGAATACATCTCCATGAATTTGTGGATTCGTTTTTTCTTTAGTACTTAATGTACGTGTGGTATCAAGCGATTCCGGGCAATTTTGTTTGTTTATAAGTGAATAATTTTTACTGAGGATTTCATTGCAATCATAAACTTTCAAAGTAATTGCTCTTTCATCCTGAAAGTCGGGATGCGCTACGGTGTCCTATTCATAGAAGACATATGTGGAGATAGTTTTAGACGATTGAACTGAAATCCCTAGTGAAAATTATACTCTTAGGTATTACCGATTCACTTCGGTAACTATCTCTGATTTGTTGTTGGTAGCTGAAACAGTAACTCGATCTTGTAGTCTTGATCGTTACAAAAGTGAGTAATACAAAGAATCGATTCATATGGAAACACCTCCGCTTATCGCAATCATCCACTATAAAAGTACTGTACGTCTGTAAATGTCCTAAATAGCATTGTAGTGAACGAAAACTCAGGTGGATAAAACCAATTTATCATTTAATGCAAAATGACACTGTGACCTAGTAAAAGATGAAGGTCGTACATCAAATAAATTGTTTGCATATCTTTGAAATGTCCCTTACAAACTTCATCGCTCCTTTATTCCTATTCCTATTTTGATTGTTTTCAGTTTACTTCATTTTCCTCTTCTACCAGTAAGAATTCTATTTCACATGCCTGATACATAGCACTTATATCTTTTCATACAAGTATCAAACACCACGCTATGCCTTTACAACATCCCACTCATTTGAATAAAATGATTTGTTCAGAAAGATGTTGAGCAGTGTTTTTTGTCTGGAATGTTTAATTAAGTGTTTGACGACAATAGTTGACCATTACCAATGAAACAAACCTATTATTAAAACCTTTTTTGTTTGTCTTGTTAATTAAAACGATACATGAAGTCCCAAACACATGTTAGGATAATATATTTTTAGGTTGATACATGAGGGTGAGAAACGTTAGTTGCAAAAACGGGATACTTCATTTGATATAATGGAATATGATAATAAAATAGTGCTGTAAGGTAATAACTAACCAACCCTGAGTAAAATTGACCTTGTAAGACAAATCAATTAAATTCTAAAAAGTACTAGTCATTTATTACATATACATTAATAATGTCTCACTACAGAAGTGACTAGCTAGTCAAAAAATATAGAACAAATCTTGTCCTATGAGAAATGAAATGTGATGTCTCTTTATCACTATTCTCAAACCCTCATCAATACTTCACGCTATCCTTAGGTGAACACTTCCAGTTAAATAATATAACTAATTAACTGGCTTGTTTCACAAACATAAAACAAAACTGCTCTCAACGACGAGTTGTAGATCTGACCTTTTACATTCAAACTAACATCACGGAGATGCCAAAGACGACCAAGATTGGCATAATCTGTTTTGTCTTTCACTATGCGTGAGTTTATATGGCTACATAGACTTCTCGACTACTTCTAACTGCTCACTACCAAGTGTGAGTGCAGGTTTAGGGACCTATCAGTCTTGTGAAAAAACTTTGCACATAGAAGATGCAAAGTATGTGCCATTCCTACGGACAATGATTGTCAACTGATTAAGTGTAGATTGCATAGCTTGGGTATCGTAGCACAGTAAGACAATATCATGAGAAAACTGAAGATCGGAAAGTCTTTCTCCACGTAATAGACCAACGCCGCCATTACCTACATCCATCAGAGCCGTTTCTAAAACGTTGTTGATAGCAACGTTGAAGAGAAATGGTGAAATTGGATAACCCTGACAAATTCTACTGCTGAAATAAAACAATGTTGAGAAATGGTTGTATGCCCTTGCTCTGCCTGAGATATTTGTATATACGATCTTCAAAATATATTAATAAACTTTCAAGTACGTCCTATGAAACGATTGAAGTAACATGTTTGTATCCTCGCTAAAATAGTGATTCAAACCAAATTAACCTTTTACATATTCTACTAACTAATGAACAAAAACACTAAATTCGTATATAAAATATATAAAGAATCTTTTTCGATACACATCAATTATTATTGATATTTCATCAGTAATAGGCATGAAACTTTGAAATAACAAGTCAAGTATTAAATTGATATAACATTTTATCATTAAAACAAACAAAGAGATATTTATATACTGATGTTTATTATTTTCAAAACATATTAAATGTATGCATAGATATCACATTTTATTTAACAAACTAATTGACTATTTTGTTGAGTTGATTTGATAGTTGTAATTATTAACAAATTATGATCAAATTTATAAAAACGAGCCATTGATGCACAGATAACACTGGTCTTAAAAAAGAAGAATCAAACAAAAAGAAATATTAGAAAACATTTAATATTTACACTCTGATAAATTGTCAACATTTATAATTGAACAATTATGTAAACAGATACACATATTATTAAATAATGAATAGAACAACTGTTTGCACAATAAAGATTTTAATGAAGCTATGTAATATGTTATTTATTAATAACCAGTTGTTTTATTAGTCGAAATAGTTACGAAACAATTTAAATTATAGCATGATATTTGCTTAGATTTAATTAAAAAATTTTACTCAAAAGGATGTTGGGAATGTATTCATCTCTCCTCATTAAATTAACTAGTTGAGAAATGGTTTAAAATGAAATTTAAATCTAAGCAACATGATTATAACAAAATCTAATCGACTAGAGATTAAGTTCCATACGATTTCTTAAATATTAATCATGTTATAACGAAAAAAATTAGTATTGGTTATGATTCGACTCTAGCTAGCTATGTAATTTAGAATAACAGAATTCATTAGTGAATACAGCGTAGCACAATCTTCAACGAGTCCGACCTATATGAGTCTTAACCCAACCTCTAACTACTGAAAACACAAAACAAAGCATCAATGTTATTGTCACTCCAACAGATTTTGAAACTAAGAAAAATGCATTGGTACTTATAAAATTATTCAGGATGTCCTTTGGAATTAGCAATCAGGTATGTAGGTTTCTCAGAGTTGAATTTAACTTAAAGCGCGTAATTTTAAAATCCACAAAATCCATTTTTGGTCGGTCAGAATTTAATTTTTAGCAAACAATGTATTTTTCAACGGCATTAACAAGAAGAGTCAGTCTTGTTTTTAGATAGCATGACTTTAACTGACAGATACTTTTATGTCTAACGTAAAAAAATATATACAAATGCCCTGGTACGGTTGAGGGTGGGGAGAATCCGCTCTCCCTCTCCAAAAGTGAAGTGAAGTCCTACCCACTGCCTTCTCACGTAGGGGTGTTGCTTACAAAATTGAGAGGACGAAAAGCGAATGTTCGGCACTTAAACCGGGTTGATAGATATGGATGATCCAATTAGGGGAGTTAGAAAACCCTGATTCCGAACCAATGGTGTACATGGGCTCGACAATCATGAAGGAACAAAAGACGTATGAATCTATTGTTTTTTTATCAGTTAGATTACATCGAATTGATCACTGCTGTGTTTGTTTGCGTTGTTAATCGACTGCCATTGTTCAGTTGATTAACTCGAATGAGAGCTAATTATTATAATGAAACCATTTATTATTTATATGTATTGATAAATAAGTGTTCCAAGAACTTAAGTCTTTTGACCTTATTCAATGTCGGCTACGTTATTCCGTTGAGTCTGTATGACTTCCGTTAGAATTATCAACCTACGCAGTGTTCATCACTACCAACAATGAATGAGCATGAAAATCAAACAACTATTAACTGTGAAAGGAAGTAGTTACATAACTAATAATCTAACACCACCACCCAGTGTAGTAGGCTAAAACAACAACAAACAAATTTACACTTACCCATGTTTTACCAATTTTTACTAAACTCTTTCGATGATCTGTTAATTGTTTCATTCGATCAAATTGTTTATTTAATTCATCATAATAAAAATTTAGATATCGTTCAGAATTTTCCAAGTGATTTACATTATCTTTATTTGAATTGTTTAATAAAGATAGAAATTTCAATTTTGGTAAGTAAAACCAATTTAATTGACCAGTTTGTAAATAGTCTGGAGTTAATCGGATATAGAATTCTGGCAATTCACATGGTAAATAACATGCCTGAATTAAATTGTGGTTGGTAATGAAAAAGCAATAAATAATATACTTGACATTATTTTTAATTGTATATGAAAATAAATAAAATATTATCAATACTGTTTTAAAGTTATGTATACTTACTAAATTTTAGGTTTTCAGAGATTATTAAATTTCATAGTTCACATCACGGAATAACACCTATTGCGTTGCTAGGTGACTGTCTTGCTATTGGTCTAACTGAACTCCGTTGGCCACGGCTTCTCGATACAGCTCTGGGGATTTCTTGGTATCAGTCACTATTGAACAAATACTAAGACGTAAAAGCTGCCCAGTGCTTCATGGTTTTCAAAGTTTGTTTAGCTATGATTAGTCCGTGATATAAACTATGACATTAATTTGCCTTCAGTACACAGATAAGTAAACCTGAGTTTCTATTGAACTAGGTTTTGTGATATATTTTATTATAATAATTGATATCTTGAGTCAATTGAAGCTAGATCACCATGGAAAACCTGGAAGCACTGGACGGCCGTTTCGTTCTAATATGGGACTTCTCAGCAGTGCGCATACACGATCCCGCCTCCCGCGAGACTCGAACCCAGGACCTATCAGTCTTGCGCGCAAACACTTAACCTCTAGACCACTCAGCAGGCATCCAACGGTGTTAATGTCCAACTTAAACGAAATTGAGGGACACACCACCATTGTATTCAGTGATTTATTATCTCACAACAGACCCCGTTGAACTTCCCTGGTTTCTGCTTCTCATTAGAACTCCAGGAAATGCCTCTTGAGGCCAGTCACTAGTGAGTATACGTTGATTAGTATCAGATGGGATTTTGTGGATATTACAGTAATTTTAAAATTACTACAATATCCACAAAACCCCTTTTGATATATTTTATTCATTGTATAGAAGTCAAGAAGTTATGTTTATTCTTTTTACGAACCAATCCAAAGTCAAATTGAAGTGGAAAGTGAAAACTCAAGCTGTAGAGTATTGATAACACTACAACAGAGTTTTAGTGTTTGTTGGTCAGCTTACAGAAATGACAATGATTTTAAGAACACGTGACAGTTGCTTTAAGAACTTTTTCGAATAATCACACAGTAAAATCCAGAGTTACATATCAATTAGTCACCGTTTATTCATCTGAAGCTCTATTTGAGTAAAAAAAAGTCAAAAGTAGAACAGTGAATTAAACGAACTACGCGATATAGATACAAAAATTGAATTGGATAGCAGAAAAAGCTAAGAATAAATCATTTACAGTTTCTTAAATACTCTATAAACAGATCTATCTCACACTACTGAAAAGAGATGCTTTTTTCTGACCGATTTCTATTTCATCTAATATTCACCCGTTCAGGAGCTTCGAACCATTCACTCATTAATTCGATTTTAATAAGTACTGTCCATTTAAATATACTTTAAATTATTTTGGCCAACTATTCAAGCATAACCATATATGCACAATATTTCTCTATCATAACAAAACTATTCGGAAATTTTAAAGAGATAAAATCACTTATAAAATGAACACATTTCTGCAATAAAAAACAAACAAACGAAATCGCATTAGAAATTTCTCAACATACAAATTACCTTATCTAAATAAGTTAATTTTAAATGACAACTTGTATTCCATTCACCAGCATCTAAACATGTAGCGTAACTTTCCATATCATCAATACATGGGGGATGTGAATTGCCTTCAACTTGAATATTTAATGCCTGTAATTTAGTTATTTCAATGAGAATTTTCGGATTTAATCGACTTAATTGATCTGTAGGGAATTGCTCTAATGGATCAGATTCTGGATTATACACTATATCTGTTTGTAAAAACAATTTTTCTATAAAATAGACAAACAAACAAATAAATAATTGAATTAGATTCACAGTAATGGAAACATTTAACGTCAGATTGACGATTGAAGCCAAAATTGTAAATATGAATACAGACTAGTGAAGAACAACTTAAGACAAATATTTAACCTGTTCTCCTATTACTTTGAACAATTAAATAATTCTAGTGAATTAAGGTGTGTGTGTGTGTAAGAGAGAGGAAGATGTATAAACAAGGAAAAAATAATGAACACATTAATTCCCAAATGACAGTAAACTTACAGATGAAAGCAACTGACGAAGTAATCATAGTTAATGCATATACTGTCTAAACATTTAACTCAACCTACGGTATAATATACATGCACTTACAAAGGCTAAGAGCATAGATTAATCTACCAGATGAAATGATTAAATAAATCATCTGAAGGTAAAATTAGACTGAATGGAAAGTAAAATATGAAATCCAATAGACAACGATTCATTGTTAATTTTTATATAACTGGAGTTCAGTTTCCAATTGTCTAAAGATGTCTATGTCCTAAATCATTATTTTGACTACAATATTACATAAGTGTTAAAACATCATTTTATGGAGGGAGCTTTTAATAATTTGAAATAAAATTAATAAGTATTATTATTAATGACTATTCAAAATCATATTTTGGTACAAAATACAAGTCCCAAAACAAAGTATTTTAACAAGTTTCCTTTTCTTATTTCTTGATCGATCCTGATGATAAATATTGAGTGATCACCAGTTAGATGTTAGCAGTTCAGAAATCGACATCTGAACAATTTTCATTCTTATCAACGCATATTGCCAGCCAGTACGATGTTGCCGACTGTACATTTTTTGTAACTTGTGCAGCAAAAGATAGAAAAATTTTTTATAAATGCCCCTTGTAAAAAATACAACAGGATTCTGATGTGCCTAACAATTAAATAAAACAAACCACTTCAACACCACCAAATTACAACTTTGGAGGGAAAGGTAAGGAAAACAAAATCGCACAATCCAGTTATCGATTCGTGAGAGAAAAAGACACTCAATTAAACGTCAAACTAGATGGTTAAACGGAACATATATTCGTGTCTTGGTTATTAAAAAGAAAACAGTGCAAATTGCATGTAGCCCAGAGATTTAATGTATATATATATATATATATATATATATATATATATATATATATATATAGCATTATATATATATATATATATATATATATATATATATATATATAGCATTATATAAATGTTCTGTGAAAGTTTCGGTAATAATAAGCAAATAAATTTATACAATTGTAATCCATTCACAATAATATTTGATGAACGAAGTAACACAAAAATTAATTCGGAATCTTCCAACAAAGAAATTAGCAAAGGACTAATCAAATTTAATTATTTAACTTACCATACTTTTTATCTGATATAAATGGACATATATTTAATTAAAATAAATAGACGGAAATTAAGTAACAATTCGGATCAGAAGAAAATTTATAAGTTAAGTGCATTATATAAATAATATCGATTATCATATACTAAGATGATTGATTGAAGAAGGGGTTAAGGGAATTCACGCGTTTGAAGATAATCTTATGGATGTGTTGAATATACAGAGGTGACATGCTGATACAAGACTGATTAAATATCGTTGAAAGGACACATAATGAGTTAGAAATGCAAGCGTCGGTTATCTTAGTATGAGTAAGTGGATTACATATCTGCACATCGTCTGGATCAAGCCAGAATTATATATATATCGAGTTCACCTATGGCAAAATTTAAAACACTCATTGCAAAACTCGAGCGTCCTATCTCTAAAATTACATAGGTTGTATTCAAAGCAGAGATAATCTAATTTCGAGATAGTCATTCAACAAATAAACAATCAATTTATAGTGAAAATCATCTAGCAATTCACTAATTTACTTGTATTCATTAAATTTCAACATATGAAATTATATTAACAGGAAAATTTCCGTTATTGAATTGAATTTAGGTTTGAATAAATATTTTCTTGCAACTGTTAAACGATGATAAAACCTATGCTTTATTAGTGTATAATTTCTTAATAATTCACCGCTAGATAATTAATTGTTTTTTGTTTAATTGTTGTCATTTTTATTTACATGTTACACTTCTCCTGTTCAGACTTTGTATCCTCAGTTCCATGGGCTATTTTCAACATTGAATATATAAATCAAGTGATAGGGGAGAATTGTGATCTATAAACTGAATGCTACTTAATAATCATAATATCAAAATGCTTGAGGAGAAAAATTAGCGCATAAACTATGATGATATTTAATAGGAAAGTGTAAAAACATTGATTCGTTAAAGTAACTAACAAGGAAATGAACTGAGTGATGAGAAACTTCAAACAACCATAAAATAGATAACCAAGCTATTACACATCATAGAATAACAAGGAGAGAGATAACAATATATCCAATGAAGATCAGTGTATAATTACTAAACAATAAGTAACAATCTTAATATCAAGAAAAAATTAAAGAGTAAAAACAAATTGATGGGAATAAATCAGCTAACAAGCAATTTACAGCAGTTTCCCACTACCATAAAAACGAAGTATCGATTCAGTAGATAGTGACATCATAAATCTGTCACGTGCTACGTCTTGTTATTATTGCCTAAAGAGAGTTAAGATCTAAAAAGCATTACATCAGAAACAACCTCCTCCCTCAACAAAGAAATATATATATATATATATATATATATATATATATATATAAAGTAACAAGTATAATAAACAGTGTGTATGAACATTTGAATATAATTTCCTTTTATTGAAAAAAAGCTGGTTCTGACTTACCGGATGAACCGTTTAACCCCTTGTAGGAAAAAAATGTACGGAAAAACAACAATCACAATAAACTATATGATCAAGAATGAAAAACGTTTATTTGATGGGATAAAAATAGAACTCTTAACTATACTTTTATGTTTAAATATGAATATTGAAAGTTATAAATAAAAAAATTACAACTACATGACAATAAGATGATATTGTATCGTGGTAAGCAAATGAATTCAATTCAATGTGACTAAATAATGGATGAAGTCATAGTAGTAATCAAGATCAGTTGATCTTTTTTGTGATACGATGAACAGACTATCATCAAAATATTTCTTTTAGAGGTGAACTTATTTCCCTGATTAAAATGTGTAGTAATACTCTCACATAAACGTGATACAATTAACGCAAAATCAAATAATCATAGATTTGATCACATATTGGTCTTACTTAGATAACTATTAAAACCAAGAATTAATAAACAGCCGTTTCAATATAGTATGGAACGCGTCAGCGGTGCACAACCACAACTCCACCAGGGATCGAATTCAAGACCTTCAGTCTTGTGAGCAAGTGCGGAATTCCTCAGACCATTGGGGAGTCCCATACTAGAGCGAAATAGTTGTACCTAATGACCGTTTAACCACGAACAATGTGTGACGTAATCTATGAAAGTTCAACAATCTGCACAAACCAATCACAGTGATACGTTTGTTTAAGTTGTAACATTCTACTTATCATACAGATACAGAAAAATAACAAAAGAGTATGTAATAATCTAACCAACAAATTCTAATCTCCTAAGAAATTTTATTTTTTAATAAAGCCTGATCAACTTTGTACATACACCAAATGTTACAAGTTGCTTCACAATTTTAGAGTATACATAAATATAATGGTCAAGTTTGGTATATAGCTCATTAATCTGTACCTTACACAATCCAAAAACATTAGTCCGATAGAAACTATTTGAAAATATCAATCAGAACGTCTATTAACTAAAGGAGATCCAAACGGTCTCCTGTGAACAGAGTGAAAGCTAATTATTCCCTAACAATCCAACCAAACATTTGGTTACATTGTGTAGGCAATATATAATTGTGTATTAACTAACAATAGCTTCAATAAATTAGCATACTAAAAATTGGGTTACAACATCCTGCTTTTAAATTTCTTGATTAACCGATATAAGATATGCAGAATAACCGAAAAACTATCTCTAACATGAATTAGGCCTTGAGGATGTTCAGAAATACAAGGAAAGCTCTTTTGGAGAACACCAACCAAATAGATTTGTGACTCATTAGTTAAGGTGGTTATTCTTATTCTTATTGTCACTATACCAAAAATATTAGAATCAAAACATCTGCATAACTTGATTTCATTCATTCTGCTTTTCAGAATCGTTAATTTTCAGTTACAAATAATTTTATAATATAAATGCTTGATTCTTTATCATAACCAAAACAAATAAATATTTAAAATGGTCCAATGGAAAATATGACAGCTAGGCTCCTTATAATACTCTTCCCACTAACATAAGCAAACGTAACGTTAACTAAATTATACACATATAGATACTATGCAACACTCACCTGATGGTCAGTCTTAATTACAGACGGTGATAACGGTGAAGACAATGTAGGTAAGAAAATACCAGTACCATCCTTATTAGTTAATAGTGTGGGTGTTTGTAATTCATCCGCATTATTATTACTACTAGTAGTAGTACTAATCGATGACGAGTGTTGTATATGTGAATTGGATTTTTCATTTTTATCATTTCCAGATACTGAACTAACACATACTCTCTTCGCTTTTGGTTCATATTCATTTACTGATGAAGACGACGGGGACAATGACACAGTATTATTAATTATCGGTTCATCTATTTGCTCATTGGGTTTCACAAAAGAATTTAACCCAGTGGTATTTGGTTGACTGATATTGTTACTATCATCATCGTCACAAGAATGTTTACGTTTTAATGAATTCAAAACAGTATCATTATTACGATTGTTACCAGTTAAATTAGACGTTGTAATTAATGGATTTGTTTTATTCGAATAATCATCAATAGTTGTTAGGGTACATTTATTATTTTGCCCAACAAATTGATCCGTATCTTGAGGTAAGCAAAATCCAATACTTTCTCTGAACGATTTCGTCTCCAATGAAATCTATTATTTTTTTTATAGAAAAAAATGGAGGGAAATTGAGAATAATTATCACGTAATAATAAATAAACATGCTATGCTTGTTATCGATGTTCGAAACAGTACATTATAAAATTAATCAGCTAAATTCCACTTGAAAGTTTGTCAAAGATGGTAAGTTATGCTACTGATGAATATTTGTCAAGAATTATGCACTGACAGACAAAGTATTTTGATAAATCATACAGTTGAACATAGACAACATCAATCAACAATACATTTACGACAACTGAATAACATTCATCATCAATTCTAAAATAAAATATGTATCTTACAAGCAATTACATGTGATGTAATAAATTCTGGGAAAAATGTAGTTAACATTAGTACTGTAGTGTTGGCTACTTATGTGTCAATAAAAGTAGCATGTAGCACCAATCGAAAGTGGAATGTATGCCAGTAGAAATTTGAGAAGATTCAATTAAAGAGAACAGAAAGTAATTCCAATAACAACATAATTAAAAAGGATCATGAAGCATATTAAGGACAACTGACGGCAGATGTACAAATTATGTATTTAGTGTACGGTTTTCATATTTTGTGAAAGCATCCTGTAATTTCGTATTAAACAATAAATTGGTCATCCCCACTAGGCTTCCCCGTTCACTACAGAACTGATCAATAACAGATGTATTTTGGCACGAAGTTACAAAAAAAATTATTGTTGCAATCAGGCATTGTAAACAAGCCACATTGACGTTAATTTACTGTCTAATTATATATTTATACCACTGAAACATCCTCCATGCAAATTCAATCTCTTTGTCAATAAATAAAATATCTACACAAGCATTTAAGTTTTGGAAAAGAATGATTACTGTTTTTGAGAGATTTCATGCTTACTGGTCACACAGAGTGCTATTAATAATAACCTAATGGAATGAAGTTTTGTTCAGATACAGCATCACAAACTATGTGGCAATGGTTCAGTGATAACACTTAGTGTGATAATATTTACATACTTGAAATTAATCAAGCGGTTGTTTTAGACATAGTTTTAGCGGGAAAAAATCTGATTAAAGGATGTTCCATGCAGGATTGTGTTCAGAAACACTGACTGGCTATTTCTTAACGAGTCATCTCTAGCGGATTGTCAGAGAAGACTCTAGAATCTTCTTAAGTAAAAATTATAAACATACTAACGTTTTTCTTAGTGTGATCCCTACTTTCATTCTATCTTGTTTATTTGGAATATAATTAAGTTCCTGTTCAACTGAGTTCTAATATGGAGACTTGTCAAGTGAAGTAGCATCCAAGAATGCTAAGCAACAAGTGTAACTGGGTCGTAATAAAAGAGTTCATAACACACAAACATCCTACATCGTTAACCAAAAAGTATAATTTGCAAAATGGAAAAGTACTGTAATTAAGAGTGTAAGAATGAAAATAAAAACCTATTTCTAAGCAGATTTAAATCTCTATAAAACAATTAAATGGCTCATAGAGCAATACGATATGTTAACGTTACATATTAAATATTTGACATGAAAAGAAACATTGTAGACACCGGTTACTACAATAATACTAAGAAACAAATTTAATATATAAAACTCCACACTGAAGTTATTCTATATACATTTTCAGAATATAAGCTTTTATTTGAATACTACTTCAAATATGATATGAAGTATAAATAAAAGAGAAACATTTATAAAACATATTAATGAAACTACTGACATCATGAATCGCTCTGAAAATTCGACGAGAATAAGCTTGATCTTGTGACATACGGTCAGACATTCTCTCGAATTCTGTAGCTAATAACTGTAAATTAGCATAAAATCCTGTTGGTTCAGCATTACTTGGAGTAGATGATCCAAGCAGAGAAGCTGATATAGTAACACGATTAGGATGTGGCAATCGACCATGTTCCATAACTGCTCCTGATAGAGCTGTTGATGCTTTGGTCGAAATATCAGGACTTTGAGTACTTGAGATAGTGGGATTTATACCAGCTGGTGAGAAATGAGTAGGTGGTCGAGGATGAATACTTTGTTGCTGAATGTCTACTACACCGGTTGGACTTGGAGCATCGAAAGGTTGAGATAGAAGTGTGTTTAAATTAGTAGTCGGGACTAAAAATAATCAAAAACAAAAAATATATGGGAATGTAATAGGATTACTTATCAGTGAAGAATTGAAATAAGGAAGGTTTTGAAAAAAAAATCCACGCTAAAGAATTATGTGAAAAGTTATGTATCATTAAACATACACAAGGTACGTTACCAGTAACGTGAAATTTCAAGGATATGTGATTAACAATAACCATAAGTATTTTCAAGAAATGTTAAATCGATGAATACTTGTTTTAAGCTGCTTCAGTCTCCGTAAGCAAATTTTATTTTCGTACTTGTATCTAAATAACCTAACTGATATCGTAACGGCACGCTGGTGATTAGGTTCTGACTAGAATAAAAGTTCCCTGAATTCCAGTGGTTCTTCAGTTAATGTTAGTTCATAATGGACATCGTCATTAAAAAAAATACAAAAAATTGGAAAATAAAACTCCCACAACTTCAGTATCAATCTGTGTAAATTTATGCAAAACTTTGTGAAGTTCAGTCAAAACAATCATAATTGAATAAAAATTAAACGATGTTCCAAATACCACATCTTTTATTTTACATTTTAGTCAAAGTAAATATCCATTTGCTTATAGTGGGATAATTTACCCGTTATTCAGTATTCGAAAAACAAGGTAATCATTCGATGAATTTTCACGCCTAACCACTAATGAATTTAACACAAATATTCTAGTATAATATCAATGTCATTAAAACTATGCTATTAAGTCCCATTCAGCATTCATCTGAGTTGATTCGTGTAAATTCACACTGCACAAAATACACTTTACAAATGGAAACTAATAAAATAAATAATCGTGATAAAAATGAAAATTGTAAAAACAATAGCAGTTCTGACCCACGTTACAGTCTAAAATGACATTATTGAGTTATTTGAGTCGTGACTGACCTCATGAAGGACTAAGTTACCTAGAATTGATTGGTCACTTAATAATCATATCAATGTTTGGTTCATTAGTGTTTACCGAATACTGTGGAAAAGGTCATATGGTCAATGATAGTGAAAACATATTTATTTTTAAAAAATGCATAATTCTTCTAGAATTATTTCTACTTGTAATGACATAATACTGATATGACACTAAAATAAACAGATAAAAAAATCAGTAATATAGAAACAAAATTTATACCTTGAAAATGATTTAATGACTGTTGACTAATAACAGTTGAATGTTTCTGTTGATTCGAAGCTGGAACAGAATGTGACTGAGATGATTGTTGATTCAAATGTTGACGTGAAATTTGTTGTGACTGCTGAGACTGTTGTTGTTGACTATCTTGTTTTTGTGATTGCATATGACCTATTGTACTGGTTTTACTAGTGTTTATAGATGATGATGATGACGATGATGTACCATGAGAAGAAATTGCAGCGTTTGCTTTAGCTTGACGTTGAAGATGTTCTTCAACTAAATGCATTGGATTTCGTTCTATCTCATGTAATAATTTTTCAATTAATGGAAGTTGTGCAAATGATAGTACATTTAAATTTGCTTCTGGATGTTCTAAAATATCTTTTAATTTAATATATTTTCGAACACAACCAGCGGCTTCCGGTCTTTTAGATGCCAATTGAATTGCATGTTTTACAGTTGATAAGTAACGATTCGCTATATCAGTTAGACCGCTGACAATTTGAGCTTGAACTTCAGAAGATTTCACTTCACCACCTTTTTTATTGCTAGTAGTAGAGGTAGTCGTAGTAGTAGTGGTAGTGTTAGAAGTAGTAGACGTTTCAGGTAGTTTATTGTCTTTATCAGATATTTGTAGTACGTCACCTGTAATTTGAATTAAAGAAAAACAGTAAAGGTATGTAATCATTCTAAGTTACACTATTTTTAACAGTAATCGCTTACTTAAATGATTTTCATTAGGCTACGAAATAATGCATCTAAGCTAAAATATATAATAGCTGTATTTCAACATTGTGTTCACGAATGTATTTTTGTGTACAATCGAGTTGTATTCATGTTATTATTTTAAAAGATGTACTTCTATGATATAGTCAAGTATTATTCACGTCATTACACAGGGCTTTATACTGCTTATTATTTGGCAACAACTGGACAGTTTGGTGGAAAAAGAGAAAGTAGTCATCAAATAAAACACGTCCGTAGATTGAAGAACGCTTGTAGATTTGTCAGTCAGTAATATATAACTTAGAATCTGGCACATATGCACATAGGTCCCATTTGCCTTACTACATTAGCAAAGAGAGATAAATTTATGTCAAGACAAATTACAGGTAGAAGTAGTAATAATGTCAGTAATAGAAGTAAAGATTAGGAATAGGAAAATAAAAAAGGTACAGTGAGGATTTCAGGACTCAAATTCTAAGGGACAAAGACTAAATGCACCTGCGTCATTGCGAATTATCTTGAGTTGTCACTTGAAGTATCAAACCACTGGTTACGATAATCACATGGACCGCAACTAGATGATTTGTACCTAATAGCACGGCTCAGTCTAACTCTTAATGACTTCAGGGAATGATCACATGTCTTGGTTTGGATGCCCCTATTCTCCCTTCAAAGTATTCTCATACAAGACAGCATCACCCTTCGAGGTAGGTGGTGGTTGAGCATACATGTACTACATGTCTTAACCACTTTAGTTGATTAGCATACATTAATCTGTTACGACTCCACACTAGGTGGTTTGACAGAAATCGATCGGAAAACAAGTCCGCGGTGACTCAGCTACCACCTGCGTTTTTTTAACAGTAGGAATGCTCTAATAATTGAACAAAATCTTTATTGGTTGTGTTCTCGAATAAACTGTATTGTTCCAAACTTATTTATGTATTGCATGAATTTCCGTTTTCCAATTTTTTTTTTACACGGAACGCTTCTTGGTAAACCTGTTGTATCAAAAAAATTTCTCTATATAATGGTATTATTAGAAACAGTTAAATAAGCAATCCGTTTGATTTTATGTCAACCGAACTGTTGAATAGAATTCTTATTTGAAAAACTATTTTTAAAAATATGAATTGCCTGACTAATGATTTATAATTTATTTTATAATTATATTTGCGACAAATAACAGATATTTGTATGGTAAAATTACCCAATGAAAAGATGATAACAATAATTAAACGGGAGTGAGATTATGCTCATCACTAGGGAGTACAAAAGGTAGTTTAATTATCATTTAAAATAGCATCGGATCACTGTCTAAAAAACGATATTAACTTTCGAAAAGGTTGTGCTTACCATTAATCTTTCGAATGATTTTGGCTTATACCCCCCCCCAAAAAAAGAATTATCAATCACGCAAGAATCAGTGAAGTTCACGCCTGAGTAAATTAGCAGTCTAATGAAAAAGTTAACATTTAAGTAACTACCTTGTGCAAAACTTTGGACTTTTGAAATTACAGGTGTAGGATTTGACTGTATAGTTGGTCTTGGTTGATACTGTTGAGTGACGGGTACATTGGATCTTGTTTGAAGTTGACTATTAGGAATAAGACCAACTTTAGGTGATTGAGCTAAACTTGGACGAATAATTTTTGTTTGTGTTCCCGTGGGATTTGGTATTACTGTGAGAACAGGTTTAGACACGGTTGCTGAAGAAATAGATAATGATGAATTGTCATTAGCACCGTGTAGTGAATGTTGTCCAGAATTAATATGAGGTAATTCACTACTTGTACCCGATGGATTAATAACTGTGAGGCAACCAGAACTAGATGTTCGAATAAGAACAGCGTTTGGGCTAGATGTGGCCACTGCATAAGAAACAATAAAATTGACATAGACATTGATAGTGTTCGCAGAAAAATAATGTGGTTATCGTCAAGCAGATACTCCACTTTGGAAAGTAATTAATTATTGGGAATATCGCGGGAATGTGCGATTGTTGTAATTAAGATAATTATTTGTATCATTTCTCAGATATTTGCCATCCTTATCCGTCAATATACATATTGAAGAAAAATTATAGTATGCCACTGCAGTTAAATTTAAAATCAGATGATACTGAGCATAAGATAAGCTTCGATATTGCAGTGAAGATTTAATGAATTTTGTCAAACCATAAAATATTAGGTACAGTAGTCCGTGATATTATCAAGTTTACAGTCGTCAGTAACAAAAATGGTAAGAAATGACACCAGAATAATTTACTTTTCAAAGTAAAATAAACTATAAATGCAATTACCTTAATTATTCACTACAAGGTTATGCTTTCAAGGCATAAATGGTGGCGAGCATGGTTGGTAAGTTCATAAACTTGATTTATGAAGGAATTTTAGTGATATAATTCGCAAAGGGTAAGACTGATGAGTTAGCAGTTAGAGGGTTAGGATTTCCCATCCGTTAGATCTGCCTCTAATCTCACTCTGTTTTAGTGCAAATGGGCAGTATCATTAGCTCTTATTACACAGACAATATCCTACAAAACCGAGTACATTAATTAGCGTTTGGGAAATGAGTTACACTATTGGTTAATTTATAACTTTAAAATTAATGTAACTTTCACTTGGGTTGTGCATTATGGCTACCAGTAGCCAATCATAAGTTCATTGCTACATTAAGGAGTAGTGCTTACACAAAGCAGCCCCAAAACAAAACGGTTAGTTAACAAGACTGGAGGATCTAAATGTATAATCAGGAAAAAATCTTACAATATTTCCTACATGAACACGATAGTGTGATTTCTGAACATTTCCAATATGAAAACTTTCAAATGCCTGTTGAAGAATGTGGGTTGTATAAAGTAACTACGATCTCAGTAACAGTGATCTGGGATATCATTTGTAACAATGAGTCTCTACAGTTTTATTTGTTTCTTGAATAAAAGTGACTTCCAGTACACCTCATCATTTATGTGCCAATATGTGAAACATGTTGAGAACTAGTGGTTGTCTGAGTGAAGTTGGGTCATAATAAAACTACAGGAATTGTGGTTCCGAATTGGAAATATGAGATTATAGAGAGAAATACGTTTTATAGAGGTTGTAGATACATTTGAGTAACGAGTGTTGATTACCCAGTAAACATAGGTATATTATTTCATGACAGAATAATTAATCGACTAAATGGATTTATTTCATTTCTCCTAAATCTTGCTGTGAAGTGATAAAAATTCAAGTCCTATTTAAAAGGGGGTAGTGATTGATTTCATAAAGAAAATTAAGTTAAACATGCAAAGTTGTTTAATTATTGATCATGACTGTAAATGTGAAAGAGAAAATGAAACTAGCTAGGATAATGTGAATGATAAACTGGGCTAGGAAATGGAATATTAATTGATAAGACTTTACGTAAAAACCGTTTTAATCCATACGAATTCGTAAGCGGGTTTTTGTGTGTACTTTTTTAAAACATCAACAAAACTGAGATTACATATATGTTTCGTTTATTTTTATCAGTGATAAAGTCTCTTCATAACAAAATGAGTTCATTTTAAAGTAGACATAAGTATATTGCAGGTATTAAATCATAGAATTCCGCCTGGAGTCCCTTTCAATGGGCTACTGCCGGTCCCAAGCCCGGATAAAGGAGGACGGTTGGGCATGGGGTTAGCGACCCCATCCCGTAGAAAACTAACTCGCTAAAAAAACGCTAACCAGAAAAAATTATTCAAACCATTTAAACTCCGCCCTGAGAGTCAGGAAGTCTTCGTTTAGAAGAATTATGACGCCTCATGATGAAAGCCGAGTTTCTTCGGAAGTCACGAGGCCGATGCCCCTTCTGACAACCAGAGCAACCATTTATTTAGGTACATGGAATGCTCGCACAATGTGGGAGACTGGGAGAGTTTTCTAATTTGCTGCAGAAATGAGGAGATACAATTTAGAGGTGCTTGGGATCAGTGAAACACATTGGACGCAAGTTGGACAACAACGACTAGCTTCAGGGGGGCTGCTGTTATACTCCGGATATGAAGAAGAAAATGCCCCACATACACAAGGATGCTGTCCAAACAAGCACAAAATGCACTTATAGGATGGGAATCTCATGGACCAAGGATCATCAAAGCCTCCTTCAAAACCAAGAAAACGGGGATTACAATGAACGTCATCCAATGCTATGCGCCTACCAACGAATACAATGAAGATGCTAAAGATCAATTCTACGATAGGCTGTAGTCAATCGTCGAGAAGTGCCCAACAAAGGACCTGACCATTCTGATGGGAGACCTAAATGCCAAGGTTGGAATTGACAACACCGGATATGAAGAGATCATAGGACGACACGGACTGGGAGAAAGGAACGAAAATGGTGAGAGATTTGCAAACCTATGTGCCTTCAATAAATTGGTCACAGGCGGGACTATATTCTCACATAAACGCATACACAAAACCACATGGACTTCACCGGATCACAGCATACAGAACCAAATCGACCATATCTGCATCAACAAAAAGTTCAGGAGGACGATGGAGGACGTGAGAACAAAGAGAGGAACTGATATAGCATCAGATCATCACTTGCTGGTCTCCAAGATGAAATTGAAACTCAAGAGGCACTGGACAACGGGGTGGATGTCAGCACAAAAGTTTAATACGGCTCTTCTTCGGGATAACGACAAACTCAATAAATTCAAAATAACCCTCAGCGATAAGTTCCAGGCCTTTCATGATCTACTCAATGAAGAAACTACTATGGAGAGCAACTGGAAAAAGATAAAAAGGGCAATCACTTCAACATGCCATGAGGTTCTGGGCCAAAAGAAGCACCATCACAAGGATTAGATCACGATCGATACACTAGATAAGATTCAAGAAAGGAGAAACAAGAAGGCAGCAATCAATACCAGTCGAACAAGAGCAGAAAAAGCCAAGGCACAGGCTGAATACTCAGAAGTAAACAAGCAAGTGAAGAGGAGCATCAGAACTGACAAACGTAAATATGTGGAAGATTTAGCAATGACGGCGGAAAAGGCTGCAAGATTAGGAAACATGAGACAACTGTATGAAACAACAAAGAAACTCTCTGGAAATCACCGTAAACCAGAACGACCAGTGAAAAACAAGGAAGGCAAGATAATCACTAACATTGAAGATCAACGAAACAGGTGGGTAGAACACTTCAAAGAACTCCTGAATCGTCCAGTCCCACTAAACCCACCCAACATCGAGGCAGCACTCACGGACCTCCCAATCGATGTTGGCCCACCAACAATTGAAGAAATCAGCCTGGCTATCAGACAGCATTCCAGAAGAGGCACTGAAAGCAGACGTAGCGGCAACTGCAAGGATACTCCACATTCTCTTCAGAAAGATCTGGGATGAGGAACAGGTACCAAAAGACTGGAAAGAAGGACTTCTAGTCAAAATACCAAAGAAAGGCGATCTCAGCAACTGTGACAACTACAGGGGAATCACTCTTCTCTCAATACCAGGAAAATTCTTCAACAGGGTATTGTTGAGCAGGATGAAGGACTCCGTAGACGCCCAACTTCGAGACCAACAGGCAGGATTCCGTAAGGATAGATCGTCTACAGACAAATCGCAACTCTATGGATCATTGTGGAACAATCAATTGAATGGAATTCATCACTCTATATCAACTTCATTGACTACGAAAAAGCATTTGATAGCATGGACAGAACAACCCTATGGAAGCTTCTTCGACACTACGGCGTGCCTCAGAAGATAGTCAATATCATACAGAATTCCTACGATGGATTAAACTGCAAAATCGTTCATGGAGGACAATTGACAAAGTCGTTCGAAGTAAAGACCGGTGTCAGGCAAGGTTGCTTACTCTCACCCTTTCTCTTTCGCCCGGTGATCGACTGGATCATGAAGACGTCAACATCTGAAGGGAAGCACGGGATACAGTGGACATCTAGGATGCAATTGGATGATCTAGACTTCGCAGATGATCTGGCTCTTCTATCGCATATGCAACAACAAATGCAGGAGAAGATGACTAGTGTAGCTGCAGCCTCAGCAGAAGTGGGTTTCAATATACACAAAGGGAAAAGCAAGATTCTCCGATAGAACACAGCATGCAACAATCCAATCACAATTGACGGAGAAGATTTGGAAGATGTACAAACCTTTACATATTTGGGCAGCATCATCGATGAACACGGTGGATCTGATGCAGATGTGAAGGCACGGATTGGCAAAGCAAGAGCAACATATTTACAACTGAAGAACATCTGGAACTCAAAACAATTGGCAACCAACACCAAGGTCAGAATTTTCGATACAAATGTCAAGACAGTTCTACTGTATGGGGCGGAAACCTGGAAAACTACGAAATCCATCATCCAAAAGATACAGGTGTTTATTAACAGTTGTCTACGCAAAATACTTCAGATCCGCTGGTCGGACACCATTAGCAACAACCTACTCTGGGAGAGAACAAATCAGATCCCAGTGGAGGAAGAAATCAGGAAGAAGCGCTGGAAGTGGATAGGACACACATCGAGGAAAGCACCGAACTGCGTCACAAGACAAGCCCTCACATGGAATCCCCAAGGTCGAAGGAGGAGAGGAAGACCAAAGAATACATTACGCCGAGAAATGGAGATAGATATGAGAAAAATGAATAAGAATTGGATGGAACTAGAAAAGAAGGCCCAGGACAGAGTGGGTTGGAGAATGCTGGTCGGCGGTCTATGCTCCACTGGGTGTAACAGGCGTCAGTAAGTAAGTAATTAAATCATGGGTGTTTTCACGGAATTATTCGAACATTTTGAAATCACCAGGTTAGTAGTCCTGATCCCAGTCGCATAACACTAGATCAAGATGACAAATCAACTGATAGGGTCGGTTTAAACTCTTACAAACGTCCAATCAAGCGGTCTTAGCTGGTTAGGAGAACAGTAAGTTGGCGAAAATTTTAAACCAAAAACAGATAAGGTTTCCAATGTTACCAACTATTGCTTTGACCAGCATAATATATGAAACTTTTCATGCTGAGGTTTACAGAATAGCCATGATCAATAGTACAGACGCATTTATTTGTCTTTTTTTTCATATCATAAATGCGGAATCATTCAGTACATTTTATTCACTGTCACAAACCATTTCTTATTTCACATCTATTTTTTCTACTGTAGTTAGGGAATATTAGTATCATCCCCTTGAATTTCATTTTTTCAATTTCTTTTTACTGTCCCATATGATGTTACAAACTATAGCAGCTATATTCAACATATATCATTTTATCAGACCTTAGATTATGTCTGTGTCTTTATCGAAAAAAAGTGGAAATAAAGTTACAAATTTTGCATACAGTTAAAATACCGGCATTTTTTTATTACCGAATGAGTTGTTTCGTGTAAAACAACCTAATTGACGAACAGACAAATAACCAGTTATTTGTGAGCAGTTTTAACTTTAATAAAAGACAAACACATTTACAATTAGAAGTGACCGTCGTATACGTACATTGGTAATTTATCTAGAGCAGATTAAATGCATAATATTCTTTGATTCGAGTGTATGAGCGTCATAGTTACTATTTTCAGGACACAATAATAAAAATATAAGAAAGCTCAACAATCCCTACAAACCTATACTGATAATTATCAAGTGTACACCAGCGGTTAGTTTCCAGAGATAATTTTCGCAGTTCCAGTGAGAAGCCGTGACCAGTAGAGTTGAACCGTAGCGAGCATGAAATAGTTACCCACGAAAAACAATGGAAGATGGTCGCCGAATATTGTGAATTGATTGAAGTTATGCATTAACGCTGTTCAACACCGGCTCCATGGATTGGAGGGTAACCATTTAAGTGCGAGACCGAAAGCCCTGAGTCAAAGTCCCACGTGTGGGACCGTGGATGTGCACTCCTGAGGAGCCCCGTACTGGGACAAACCGGAAATCCAATGCTTCCAGGTTTTTAATGGTCTAACACTAATCAGTTCGTGATCACAATAATAAATATCGTTTTTTTACCAGAAAACAAGCAGCGAAATTGGACAAAAGACAAATAATCAACAGTTTAGAAAATTCACCATTATATATATATATATATATATATATATATATATATATGCTTCGCGTTCACACGTTAATCTTGCATTAGCAACAGCAGTAAGAATAGTGTAAGCATTGCCATAAAGATAAACACCAACAACACTTAATAAAAAATAAATAGCAGCAGTTTAAAGTAGTAAACAAATCGAAATTATGGCACTTAACACAACGTATTAATCCACTGTAAATCTGGTATCAATCATTCATTTTGGAATCAAACGCGCGCACACAGAGAGACAAACAGATAGATATACACAAAAACTTGTCTAAATCAAATACAGATAGACAACGTAGATCTTGGCTTCAAAAAAATAATAATATGTGCACTGGTCGAAATGTTAGCATGATCATCATTACAATTTTATTAATAATTGGCATTGGAATTTTTAATTTTATTTCAATAAAAAAGCTCTTTCATACAATTTTGTTATTCACAAAGAAATAAATAAAGGTCAACAGTAAACTCATTTGAATGGTGAATTTAGTTTTAAATCGGTTAATTAACTGCACTAAGAGCACCTACCACGAATACGTCGTCCAGATAGACGTTCTGTTCAATATAAAAGATAGATAATTTAAGTAGGAAATGTGAATGATTAACGGAAATACCTCTTTTTTGTGAAATAAATAATTTTACATTGTTACTAGGAATAGCGACTGTATTCATTAAAATAAATTATATTCATTTTTATCATATGAGTTAACTTTTGATTTGTTTTAAAGAAAAAGACTAGTAGTTTATCGGTAGAAATTCAGGTTCTGGTTTCGATTTATAATCGTATTTTTTTGTCTTAGAAACAAAGCAAGATTCTATTGACCAGATATTTAAAATAATTAACATCATGAATATGCAATAATAATAGAGTCAAATAAAAATGAATAAATGATAACTCCTGTAAAAGTTTACAGCAATAAGGAAGAAGAAATGAACTGATTTTGTACAACGGACAATTAAACTGTATAATGCTTATATATATTTGAGAGATAGAACGTTTCAGTTCTTTAGTTTTATACCAAGAAGCTTCTCTTACTACATAAAAAAACACAAAAAGCTAAAATATTTGTGATCCAGTTAAATGCATTAAGGAATTACTTTCGAATTACTACAGGAAATGATATGAGATTATTTCACTATCTAGATTAAACGATGTAAAACAATATATAGATGAAACATATTGTAGTGGTTTCATGGTTAAATCATCCAATTTTCAAACAACAGGTAACATGTTTAAACTCTACTCCACACAATTTTGTTTGGGAAACCGGATAAAGTTATTGGTTCTGACAAAAGGCGTGAGGTTGAAACAAACCACATAAACCTATGTACTTGCTAAATCAGTTATATCAGAGAACAGTGACAAGACTGTGATGCAATAAAAGATTCAACTACTCAGTGATAAAAATTGTTCTAAGAAATATTAAAACAATAATTCGACACTTCTCTGTGCTTACTTTAACCTGAATTCATATTTGCACCAAAAAGACTTTCTTCCAAAAATTTATTAACAGAGATAGTTTATAAAAACATAATCAACTTTTTACAACACAATACAAAGGTTTTATCCACCCTTGGAGAGGCCTTTTATTAGATAATCTCTTATTACTAATTTTATCGTGTAAAATGATATTTTCGTATTGAGTACAAGATATGAAAATTTTTAAAATAATAAATACCAAACAAATAGATCCAATTCTTGTTTTGTAGAAATTCGCATAAAATATCTTATATTGAGGTGGGAATATATTATAATATACAAAGTGTGCATATGTTATGATCATAGACCATGCACACAAATAGGTCACCACCTTCACAAAACTACTTCTCAACATTTTAATGAGGTGGCTGACTATGAATCTTGGCGATAAAGAAAAATTCAATAGGCTTGGTGATGATGACTATATCATCACTACTAATAGTAATAATGATCGTAGAAATGATAATAATAGTCAGTTTGTGTGGTGACGACAAACTACTCTTTCAACTCGATAAATCTCACAAATAATCAATTAAAATAACTACACATACAAAAAGACAAAAGAAAAAAATTTGGAGAAAAAATCACAAGAATAAATTAGAAATGAGTGATTAATTCATACATATAGAGTAACATACCGTAGACACCGTCCTGTTGACAGCCTGATTTAATAGATGTAGATGATCCCATCGTTTGAGAACTGAAATGGATGGGATCATATAAGTGAAATAAAAAAGACAACCATAAAATACGAAGAGCTGGTTAGGGTTACTAAAAACAACACAAAGTGATTATCATAATCAATAATAGCTAAGTAGAGACCAGTAACCAATAAACCACCTCTCCAATTAGCCGACTACCTCAAGTTTGTGAGTAACTATGTGTTGTTTGGATACAATCTCAATATTGCCACACCACTACAGCTCTTTTTCTCAGCACGTTAACGCGCAATGTTTACTAGTGAATTTCAAGGGCGAAGATTAATCCATATCTGTTGTTATAAATAGCTCCAAAGTTATCTTAGAAACTCCTAATTCTTTAAATCACTACAAGTTCTATAAAATACGAATAATGCCTAAAGATTTGTGGTTAGTCGGAGCCATGTACCCTTCAGCAAGGGAAACCAAAATCCTGCAAGTTAGCTGGCACCATAGACATAACACAACCGTGCATTATTTCGTCTTACTTAGTTTATCTATCCGATTAGAGCATTGAAACTTACTTGATTATTGATTGCCGTGAAAGAGACTGATCAGCAGATGATAACGAAGTTATTTGTGAAGTATTTTGTGACTGAGGTTGTTGGAATATGAGGACCGGTTGTTGTCCAGATCCTGTGGTACATTGAATAATTTGGCCAGACTGAGTAACTGTAACACCCGAAGGTAAAAAAACCTAAAATCAAAGGTAACATTCCCGTCGAAATATGGTTGTAAAATGGTTGATGGATATTATATATTTAAAAACTACAATACAGCAGAAAGCGATAACCGACTAAGTATTTATGATGGAAACTTAAGGGTGGTTGAACTGGTTAGAAAACTGGTAGTTGATGTGGTAATAAACAAAACTATTCTATACAACTACTACAACATATACATTCAGATGAAAATCCATAGATACATATCACAATCTAATAGTAAAAGGAACAACATAATTTTTATTATTAATGCAAAACAATAAACCTTAACTGGTTCTAAATGTGTTATCAGGAATAGTGAATGTCAATACTAGTGTACTCTGAAAAAGAATAAGTCTTAGGACGACCGATGATATGTGTTTCATCAATAGCTTATATCAGCCTCCCCCCCCGGGAAATGTAAGTAGATTTAATATAGGGGATTTGTGGAAATAGTAGTATTTTTACTGTTAAAATCACAATAGATCTTAGCTAGATCACCACTGGAAACCTGGAAGCACTGGACGGGCGTAAACAGATTTGTCAGACTCAGACGGCAGTACAGCATTATTATCCTTATTAGACTAGTTGACGTTTAAAAAAGGATTCATTGATACCTCAGCGGATGTCTTGAATTTCCCATAGTAGTTGTACGATTATGGGAAAAAAGAATACTGCATGAAGCAAGAATATCTGCTGAGTGAAACCAAACTCTTGAATAACACAATTTATTTACTTTATTATTTATATATTTGAATACATAAATATTGGTACAAGAGGGCACCAAATATATATGCGCCACACGAAACAATGAGAATGGGAAGAGAAAAAAAGAAGGACAATAACGACCAGAATGGGGTAAGGTGTAATAATAATAATAATAATAATAATAATAATAATAATAATAATAATAATAATGGGAGAAACGGAAAGGTACAACCAGAAGAATTCTTTCGGTTAAGGAAGAAGCAACCACTTTTTATGAAGAAAGTAAAAGAAGGTTACAGCAGGATCGCCACTGGCTTCTATTCTGAGCCATATCTGATAACGTTTCTAGCCACTGTGTTACGCCATCTCTAGGACCCCAGCCAGGGAGTCGTGAAGGACCGACACAAGCCAGCCCTTTGCAGCTTTCTATCATACCACGACACCATGTCATATACTGACCACCTCTCCGCTTTTTCCAACCAGTACCACAGTCGGCAAATAATGCACGACGTGGAATTCTCTGGGACGACATTCGTAGAACATGTCCAAGCCACCGAAGTCGGTGTTTCAAGATGGTGACACCAATGGCATTATCGTCTCTGTGCCCGAACACACGATGCCGAACCTCTGCATTACTAACATGGTGTTGCCACTGGATGTCAGCGATCCTTCGGAGACAACGATGGTCAAACACAGAGAGTCGTCCTACAGCCCCCAAGGCCCTGGTATGGGAAAAGAGTAGAATGAGCCAGCCCTCCCTCTCGAAACGCTTTCACATGGCCACGCGTATACAGCCTCTGCCAGGGAAGTCCTACTCACTGCCTTCTCGTGGCGGTGGTATTGTTTACGAAAATGAGAGGACGGAAAGCGAATGTCCGGCGCTATAACCGGATCCCAAACCAATGGTGCACATGGGCTCCAGTATCCTGCCTGAAGGAACAAATGGCGTATGAACCAATCGTTGGTCACCGGCTACCATGGGACTGCATCTCCTCACGATGCTCCACTGCCTTGTGGATCAGATCTTCAAGTCGAAGGCTCGGGGTGTGGCCCCCTAAGAAAACCACCTGCTTCGGTTTGGGCACCCGGTCAGTATCACAGCCCACACACAAATAAAATGAAAATGACGATATTTACTGAATAACACAATTAAAAGGTGGAATTTGGAAACTGAATAAATGATCATATATTTTGCAAGTGATTTTGACCATAAATAATCACACCTGAATTGTAATAGGAGTAAAGCATTCTGAGGAGCAAGTACGTTCCCAAAATAGGCTTAAATCAAACTTACTGTGTGAAACAAGGAAAAAATAGCTGCTTTAACACCTGAACAAACGTAATACAAATAGAATCAAAGTAAGTGTTAAAGCTAACAGTTTCAAATAAAATTTAAAATATTCACCTTTATGGTAATTTTCTGTCAAATATAAAAGCTGGATCACATTATCTTAAACCTAAATGAAACAAGTAGAAGATTTATCATATGTTAAAACAATTGATCTGGTTGGTAAGTATTGGTGATTAGTACAAGCCCTTTTGCATGTATTAAAATGTCTAGATGGTATACATCATAAATGGAGTGAACAATAATTGACGACGGTGATCAGGATGTTGGTTTCTACACTACTGAGCTATAATTCATACAATATGGGAATTGGCATTAGAATATAGTAATGGACTTTTACTATAAGATGGTCATTACGTCAGTAACTATGATTAAGTAGGGAAGAATCAACAATATACAGGGTGTCACAAAACATAGTTGGGATTTCTGTGAAATACAATGATACTTTAAAGTTTTCATATAAAGTAAATGTAACAGACTAGTAACATGTAACACGTTAAAACCTTTACAATATATACGGCGTAAATTGACAAAAAAGGAAAAATATTAAGATGGATAATGAAATGAGATAGAATATAAGGATAACATCGTTTACGAGAGGATTTTCAAAAGAATAGAGAACAGTTCAGAAGCACAGATCAAACTGTCAAGTAGTTCAATTCTTAGCCAACAGGTCCTAAGATACCCTGTCCTAAATTTCATAAATCAGACAGCTCAATAAGCACAAAACCACTAAAATGTATCTCAGCCAGGTGTAGACTACACCTAATCGGGATATGCGAGATGATAGCAACCGATGGTTAGAGACCTTGAATGACATGGCTCAAAATCGTTTGCAATGGCGCAGGTGCATCCACTCATTGTCTTCTTCCAAATTCTAATCTTCAGACTTCTTCGTATCCCTTTTTTTCTCTTTCCAAATTTATTTCAATGGACTATACTCCCTGAATAACATCTTCAAACTCTAATGTTTCCGATTACTGCTTGTACTCTTACTAACCACTATGGGATTTGAATCGACAGCTGCATCTCTGTACCAATGTGGTATGGCAACTCGAACTGATGTACGTACGTACGAAGTTCTACGTTGTTACTGACTGACTATGTATATGACATCGACATAAATGTTGGTCAGTCCATAAATTTTATAAATAAGCAAAACACAAAGGTATATATAGAAACAAGGAATTATAACCAATAGTTATAATATAGGGTTGAGTTAACAACTGCTATTTGTCAGGTATGTAGGCAACTAATCTGTATATACTAAAAACAAACTAAAAGCTATAAAACCCCTTTACAAAATATTTCAATAATTTAAGTTCAAGATAGATAGTGATTAAATAACAATGTCATGGACAAATATTATCAAAATTAATCATTAAGATAATATAATTAAATTTTTACTAAGACTTACACGATTAGGTATTGTCGAAACAGGAATACAATGTGTTGACGATGCTCCAAGAATTGTACCATCCTGTTGAATAATACCCTTTTGAGAATATGATTGATATTGTGGTTGAATAGGATGTGAACTAATAGTATACCTTGGACGATTATGATTTATTTGTATATTATTAATATTATTAGACATATTTTGTGACATAACTTGAAGAATTTGAGGATGCGATTGAATTGTAGTAGGTCCAGATCGTGGTAAAGAGATGATCTGAGTATTCATTAGTTGTTGTGGTTGCTGTCCACTCAATTGAAAGTTATTTCCAACGGACTGCATTTGAATATTAGGATCGTTTGGAGGTACATGAACATTAGCTGGCATACCCGAACCGGTAGAACCTAAATAAGAATAATTGTTTCATAAAAATAGTTGGTTTGATCCATTTAATCAAGTTACAGTTCTTAGTAAACATATCGAATTATTCAAACTAAATACAATAATCATGATGTCCAGTCAATTCGCCTAATAGCCATACTCAAAACAGCAAATGAGAGACGTAAATATCACTATATAGGATAATGGTTATTATCTGTTGATTGGTTAATTACCAAGCCATTGTTTGCATGATTTACTAATTAATTAAAGACCATACATCTAAAATATTCTTCACGAAAACATTAATTTTCAACATGGCAACCATAAATTCAACAGGGATATTGTTACTAGCCACTCAACCAATGTCGGATGTTTTATGGAAAAAAACGTATAATTAGTGAGTGAAATATACCACCAAACAGCATATTCAAACTCAGGTCAGAGAAACCGAAACATGAGATGTCTGATGAGCTCTCTTGCAGTTGATTTTACCGAAAGTATGCTTGGATTCATTGTCAATAACCAAACCATTCGATGACATATTTCAGCACCTAATAATACTCTTTATTTAGAAATCATGGGTGGAACATATTCAAAACGAATTCTGTTGACACCACAACAAAATGGACTAAAGACTGTCAAGTTGTATGAAATTTAAACTGTACAGTATGCAAATATTTTGTTCCGATGGTTATAAATGAGTTGTCTAATTAATTCGACTTTCGAGTATGCCATAGATAAACTACACTTTTAACAAGTAAAACAACTGTCTTGTATTGACTATCACTTTGAGAAGTTTGGCTAAACCTGCAGGTAAATGTGGGTGATTTCAACATTCCAGTAGTATTAATCAGTAGCAAGTACTTCAAAATGACTTCAGGAAAGAGAACAATAAAAACCAATTACGTCTTATTTACCTTAGGAAGGGATCTTTTGAAGACTAAGAAAACAAATGCCGACTAAGAGCACATTAGAACGTGTTACCATGCACATTTTGTACCCTAAGAACTAATAATAAAGACAAACTAAGAGATGCAGCAAAGTAAATATCCCTGAAAAGATCAGATGATTGAATGAACTTAGACGTAAGTTAATTGAACAAACTCTCACCAAGTAGGAGCCACAATATCTGCTACAGAGACTTCATTTATTTATTATTTATTTATTTTAACACATAGATATCAGTACATGGAGGCACCAAATACATATGCGCCACACAGATCTCATTGGATATATGTGAGGGCTGTGATACTGCCCGGGTGCCCAAACCGAAGCAGGTGGTTTTCTTAGGGGGCCACACCCCGAGCCTTCGACCTGAAGATCTGACCCACGAGGCAGTGGAGCATCGTAAGGAGATGCAGTCCCATGGTAGCCGGTGACCAACGATTGGTTCATACGCCATTCGTTCCTTCAGGCAGGATACTGGAGCCCATGTGCACCATTGGTTTGGGATCCGGTTATAGCGCCGGACATTCGCTTTCCGTCCTCTCATTTTCGTAAACAATACCACCGCCACGAGAAGGCAGTGAGTAGGACTTCCCTGGCAGAGGCTGTATACGCGTGGCCATGTGAAAGCGTTTCGAGAGGGAGAGCGGACTCTCCCCACTCTCGGCCATGCCAGGGCATTTGGGGGCGCTACAGAGACTAAGTCGGTAATTATAAGTAGAGATGGATGGTGGCTAGCAGTGGAATCAAAAATGCACGTTTCATCTTATTTGGGACTCGTCATCCGGATGTGCCTACATCCCAGAGTTGATGTCCACCTCATGACTCGAACCCAGTACCGTTCGTTCCAAACCGCATCGCGTTATCCACTGTTAGCCAGCATCCATCTTTGGCCAAAATGCTTGTGACTTAAGACAATATCGAGGCAATCTGCACATGCACATATGCTACTAAGAGACTGATCTATTGTTGTCATAAATATCAATGAGAAGATTAAAAAACCAATACAAATATGAATTAAGTCCGTAATTTATTAAATATGAATAATAATTATAATGTGAATAGATAAACCCAGCAAAATTTTTGAGGCAAGTTAAATGTTCGAATACAAATAAAATGAGGACGAGACAGAGAAATATGAACCATTCATGATTCAGTAGTGTCTACTTTGGCTCATGCCCTCGGAATAAATAGATACTGACCCACTCGTTTTTCTGTCTTAATTTCTAGCGGTTTGTAATTCTCTCCTAAATTTCTTCGAAACACTAATGTGAAATGTGATGATTTTGCATATGTGAATAAAAAAAACATTCACAAATGTGTTTAATAATGAAGTAGGTTTGCTTATAACTTTTGAAGTCACATAATCACATTAAGCAATAGTACTCTGTATTGCATAAACGAAACAACTTACTTGAGTTGATAACCTTAGATAGGAGGTTCAGGTAAGTTTTCTAAATCAAACAAATAAATGAAATATTACATTAAGAATTATGGTTACTTTAACACCACGTGATTTCTCCAACATGAGATTTTCAATTTCTTCCGGAGATTTGGGGAGTTTACGAGTTGATGTTACTTCGCGGCTAAAAAGAACCCAATCATATCAATTCATTATCCCATAAAACACAATTTATAGTAATGACAACAGATACATATTGAGATTGCAACGGATGCAAAGAAGGTGGTTTCCAAGTCGATTTTTCATCATATAGATTTATGAGAACTTTAGGTTGCGTGTAAAAACAATGAAAATGTTGGGATTCCATTTTTTCTGCAGTTATTCACTGTTGAACACATGTATTCCCAAAGGACAAATCACAAAACAGATTTATTTACTGAAATCTGTCGAGTCTTTATACCATTGATCTGAAAAGTGCTACTTCTATGTATATGTAACAATACCTACCTCAGTCAGTCAGCTACAACGTAGGACCGGGCGCATATATGCATCGGTCCAAGTTGCCATATCTATATAACCAGTTGAAAATCCTGACGGTATCATTGAAACTACCGGACACCTCTTAGACGGATAAAAGCCGACCTGATGACCGAGCATAAAATGCAAGATTTACCACAATAGCTCCACTTTTAAATTCAAACCTATTCTACTTGAGGGAATTTTTGTGGTGTAGCTTATCACAAAAAAGGTAAAAGCCAAATATTTAAGAACTTTCGAGCTAAGATCATGAACATATTTATGTTAGATTATAGATATCATGTTATTTATGAGTACACCTATTAAGGAAAAATAGAAACTAAACAAAATATTCACATCACACAGCCACAGAAAATACCTTAACTATTATGTAAACTGAATGTATCAAATATGAAAAAGATAAAAGGAAATACTTACAGTTGATCTAAAACCTTCTGTCTTAGTTGTGGTGTGATTACATCTACCGACATTGTAATGAATTAAACGAATTCCGGTCAGTATTGTTGTTTACAGGCTGTATATACGTAATATACTTCGCAAAGTGGAGAGTTGATGATCAAGGCAAAATTATCAGTTATTGGACACCAAAATCAAACTAAAGTTCCAATATCATTTGGTTTAAAAATTGAGCGCTGGAGATATGTTTGAAATATATTCTTTTGCTTAGAACTGTACAAACATTCTGTAAGACAAAGAAAAAGGCACAAATGAAGAACGCTACCTGATTTGTGGTCAAGGTAGACCGATTATAAAAAAAGTGTTTATATCATCCTTTATCAGACTTATAGTCCAGAAGATTAATATTATTTCGTCCAAACAAAACTTGAAATATCAGGATAACTAAAAGATGTAACATAAGTAAGGACATACAAGGGTAATGTAATATTAATGATCATAAGAAAAAACAGTCAAATGAGTATTAAGCAGATGTGTTCATATCATTCTACTTGTTATTATATATATATATATATATATATATATATATATATATATATATATATAGAGAGAGAGAGAGAGAGAGAGAGAGAGGATAATACCAGATAGCCGACAGCTTGGATACCTCTATCTTTATTTATTTTAACACATAGATATCGGTACAAGAAGGCACCAAATACATATGCGCCACACAGATCTCATTGGATATGTGTGGGGGCTGTAATACTGCCCGGGTGCCCAAACCGAAGCAGGTGGTTTTCTTAGGGGGCCACACCCCGAGCCTTCGACCTGAAGATCTGACCCACGAGGCAGTGGAGCATCGTGAGGAGATGCAGTCCCATGGTAGCCGGTGACCAACGATTGGTTCATACGCCATCTGTTCCTTCAGGCAGGATACTGGAGCCCATGTGCACCATTGGTTTGGGATCCGGTTATAGCGCCGGACATTCGCTTTCCGTCCTCTCATTTTCGTAAACAATACCACCGCCACGAGAAGGCAGTGAGTAGGACTTCCCTGGCAGAGGCTGTATACGCGTGGCCATGTGAAAGCGTTTCGAGAGGGAGAGCGGACTCTCCCCACTCTCGGCCGTATCAGGGCATTTGGGGGCATACCTCTATTTACCAAGCAGAACACTCACAAATAAGTCACATTACACAAAAAATCAGAGGCACTACAAATTTCCCTACAGTTACATAAGTATTGATTATCTTGTCTTCTGTGGGCAACTTTGATGTTCTACTAACTGACAAATAGATCCTACAATTCTAAATAGTAGACAATGAAGTGTATTTTGAAGTGATGTAGCACACGAAACGACGATTGCCAGTGTGCCTTAATAACACTGTGATTCCAGTATTATTTAAGTGGTGTTTCCCTGCATGCAATCAATCCTTATTTAGATGGAAAGCCGGTCACTCGTGAACATACGGTCAGTCAGTAATGATTAACAAATGTGAGTTAGTCCAGACTGTTATACCGCATTGCGATTAAGAGATTAAATGGATAGCAAAGGAATCGGAATAATAACAGTAGTAGTGACAGTGAAAAAAATTAAACATTGAGAATACGGTTGGAGATGGGATGAATGGATACTGAGACTTAAATCTACGGGAAGGTTAAAAGTAAATTTATTTGCATCATTATGATCAATCCTAAGACGTGTTACTAGCAGTCGACAACCAATGACCCTGATCATCGTGAGGACCCTAACCAAGTGGCTTAGCACCAAATGAGACCAACAATCAATGACTTCATGGACTGGTATTTGTTTGGCTGCCACCTATATTTATTTATTTATTTAACACATAAAATTACGGTACAACTAGGTACCAAGAAGAGTATATGCCACACAAATAAAGAAAAGAAACTTAGAGAAAATATGGGGAGGGAGTAAATTTTTTAGAGAGAATAAGTTAACAATATTAGTATGTAATAGCAGATACAATCCAATTCTTTTAAAAAGTTATAACCAAGGGAACTTCTTGCAGTTAAGCGAATTCCCCTCGCTTTTATATAGAATGTGACAAAAAAGCTACAGTAGGGTTGCCACTGTTTTCTATTCTGAACTGTGTGATAACGTCTTAAATCATTGTGTTGCACTATCTCTAGGACCCTGACCAAAGAGTCCTGAAGGACCTAAAAATGCCCGCCCCACACAGCTTCCCCTCATACTACGGCCCCAGCTCATAAACTGATCATCTCCCCGCTTTCTCCACCCAGCCACTGGAATGGCATTCGTAGAACATGTCCAGGTCACCGAAGCCAGTGTTTCAAGATAAAAACACTACCAGGATGATCTTCAATATGGCCGGGCAATCACTGGAGAACGTCAACATGGTGTTGGCACTAAGTAGAGACATCCCTTCATATACAACGATGATCGAATACAGAGTCGCCGAACATCCTCAACTCGAAGACCAGGTTTCACAAGCGAAGACAAAAACTCCTAACGATGCATTGTAAACCTGACCTTTCACAGCCAGGTCATCATGACAACATTGAAAACACCCCAGATTGGTATGAGTCGCTCTAGCTTTCATCAGTCACCCCACTGCTGGTACTCATACAACTACAACTTTCTGATTTCTGATTACAAAGAGTGAATGCAAACAGAGCGTTTTGTATTTAGAATGTGCAAAGTACATGATATATGGACACTGATTGATAACTGATTAAGTGTGATTTGCACATCAAATGTATCTTCGAAGAGTAATACAATAGCATTCTTAAACTCAAGATCAAAAAGCTTTTTTGAAAGGAGCAGATCTACATTAACACCACTCACTTCCACTAGTGATGTTTACAGAATGTTATCGATTGAAGAAATGGTGAGATTAAACAACTCTGACTAACCCACTGCTGGAATGAAAGTGAGGAAAAGTGGTTGTATGCCCTTAACTCTGGCCTGAGGTATCTGTACAGATTTTTTAAGGTATTATTAACCTTTCAGACATACCCTTCTTAGACACACAACTCTAAAACACAGTCCTATCCAATGAATCGAACGCAGCCTTGATATCAAGAAATCATGATTGTTGGCCTGCAGTAGATGCAATAGCTCACCAGCATTCGGAAACGGTAAATGTAATCAATACATGCACGACCTGATAGAAAGCTACCCTGCTCCTCATGAATCAGTCTTTCACTGATATTGGACAGTCTGGGAAGTATGACCGAGGTCGATGGTTTCAATGTAGTCGGTAGTAGACTTGTCTCCCTATATTTATTGCACGGATAACGTATGCCATTTATAAAGGAGACGACAGTCGCTTAATTCCAGGAAGTTGGAACATTCTCACAAACATTTTCAAACAACCCAGCCAGTCCCCAGAAGATTTAAACCTTCCTTAAAAGAAGCCGGAGGGTAAGTCGCATGGACCTAATAACTTTTGAAGCTTGAAAAGTTGAAGTTTCTTGCGAGCCTCCTATTCGTTAGGTGGATCGGTCGTCAACAGCCAGGAAGGATATGACAATTTGATCGATGTCCCTAGGGCAAAGTATTCCACAAAGAACTCTACCCATCGGATTCACAGATTGTTCTACTGGCACCAGACTTCCTGTTGTCTGCGATTCGGATGAGTTGGAACAGCTTCCAAAAGTTTCCGAATCCAAATACGGTTTCGAACATAAAAACACACAACCATCAGGTTTCTCGATCCTCCTGCAAACTATGTATGATTTCTCGAAGTAAGAATCCAAGTTTATTATTAAACTCGTGATTCAATGGAATAGATCAACTTGCCTCCAATAGTTGTAAGGAACTTACAAAAAGCTAATGCTTATAAGTGGGACGTTTAGCGAAATTAGAAGCAGCTTTACTAGCCATTTTCATGGCGTCATACAGATGCGGTTAATGTACACCCACAGTTTTTGGTGAATCATAGCCGGCCTAGAACATAATTTGGTTTGATATTTGAGAACAACGGGAGCTACAGCCATTTCGCTTATATCAAGCAGTTCAAGGCGATACGTTTGTTAGTCACCGAAGCGTAAGATAAGCTTGGCGCAAACTATAGCATAATCAAAGTTCGCATAAGTACTCCAAAAGGAGTGCTGGTCGTGTACCTAACCAAGCCAGAGGTATTTAATCGCGGTGTAATCAACAGAAATACATTTATTATTTTATTTTAACACATAGATATCGGTACAAGAAGGCACCAAATACATATGCGCCACACAGATCTTATTGGATATGTGTGAGGGCTGTGATACTGACCGGGTGCCCAAACCGAAGCAGGTGGTTTTCTTAGGGGGCCACACCCCGAGCCTTCGACTTGAAGATCTGATCCACAAGGCAGTGGAGCATCGTGAGGAGATGCAGTCCCATGGTAGCCGGTGACCAACGATTGGTTCATACGCCATCTGTTCCTTCAAGCAGGATACTGGAGCCCATGTGCACCATTGGTTTGGGATCCGGTTATAGCGCCGGACATTCGCTTTCCGTCCTCTCATTTTCGTAAACAATACCACCGCCACGAGAAGGCAGTGAGTAGGACTTCCCTGGCAGAGGCTGTATACGCGTGGCCATGTGAGAGCATTTCGAGAGGGAGAGCGGACTCTCTCCACTCTCGGCCGTACCAGGGCGTTTGGGAAGATACCAGGTAGCAGATCACACACGATCATGCTGACAGTCCGTACTGGCCAGAAACAGGTTGTGGTCTGAGTAAAACTGTGTCCCCAATGGTTCGACAAGACTTTGCCTAGAAGCTCAACCTGAGCACTTCATTATTCGACTAGAATTAAAATGTTTTTGAATTCGTCCCAGTAAAATTGTCCAGTTGTTGGTAGGGTTTTTCCCTGATTGGATCCGGGCAGCAATCTGTTGGTGCATCGGTGGAGATTACAAAAAGACACCGTTTATCACGAAAGTCTCACTTTTATGGACCCTCTTGTTCTAACGCCATATAAACGACTGTTAATAGGAATTTAGTCGATCAGTTTCGCCTTTGCTCTAGAGCTTAGTGAGATACAAACAGCAGTCAGACTGGAAGCTGATGCCATTGTGCCTTCAGATAAGCACACGGATCGATGGATGGAGAACAAATGTGTAGTGCTTTATTGGTTTTGAATGTGGGCTTCAAACATCAAGGATACACACATCTTACGACCTTCCAAAGACATAACGAAACCCATCTGTTGGTTAATCTGAACCACAGTATAAGCGTTGAAAAATAGTCTAAATGGAACATGTGGCTATAAGACGACCAATCCACGTTTCGTATTTGGTAGCACCGTTCATGAGTTCGATAACTCAGCAAATGAAAACTGTTTAGTTAACATGGAACTGTCAATACAAATGAACTGCTGAGTTGAAAAACAAGAGTAAACACAGAATGTAAACAGGACAGAAAAGTGAAGCAATATAAAAAAATACATTTGACCTAAGTAGAAAGCAAGTATTGTTCTAAGAACTTTAGAAATATAACTTGATAAGACTCATCCAGTGCAAAATTATGCATTCTCCTTTGAGCTACATTTTGTAAGGCCTAATGATACTACCCGGCTCCTCAAGCCGGAGTAGGAGTGGAGTTAAAATCTGGAATCTAGTAGTTAAAAGTCAGATGCTTCAACCACTAATCAGCAGCTTGAACATGTAGACACAATACACATACAATCATATACTTAATCTTTTGTGGCTTATGTTGTAAATCAATACTACTCATTGTCAAGATGCATGAAAATATGGTGACCAGTTTAAGTGAGCTTTTTGATGTAAGACTAGGATTGGATCTAAAAGCGTATATCTCATCTTATGACTTGATTGTATTTAAAAGTCGTCTGTGTGCTGTTCAACTTAGTGTTTCTGTGATGGAAAAAAATGCACCTTGAAACGCGTCAGAACATAAATTTTCCCTGTCTATGCACCCATTGATTACAGGTTTGAAGAAAGTAAGGGTGAATTTTACCAAAACCAGCCAGTTTCACCTCGAAAAACCTATGCACAGACATATTTACATCAGCAACCGAACCTGACAGCTGAAAATGAATCAAACAAAACGTGATGTCGGATGTATTGTTGTACTCTTTTGTTTCGGTTTGGGCACCCGTGCAGTATCATAGGCCATACACAAATCAAGTGACTTGTGTGGTGCATATGTATTTGATGCCCCTTTGTACCGATATTTGTGTTCAAACAAACAACGAACTAATAAATGATCTACGTGTTTCCTATATGAGGACTTTCGATTTTGTGGTCACTAACACTAGGCACTAATCATACCTTAATCAGTAAGTTTTCATTTTTGAATCAATTCCAATATCACACTACCTTCTACTAAACTATATCTGCACTTTAATAGACGCAGGAAGCACATACAGAGTTGGTGTATGTTTCAGTTAATGACAGCATGAAGTTTATTTAAGAAAGAACCAGCTATTCAGTTGCTGAAGCATAAAAAGAATTATTGTCCTGATTAAGGTGAGTAAGATATCCGGAAAACTGTTAAGACAGTAGTTTACAATTGGAAATAAAAGTAAGAGCTAGTAGATCGCTGAAACTTTATTCGAACCAACTGTTGACTGAAGACTTATTTTAGTTGGCTTAGTTGGTTCACTGCCATCTCGTGACGGGGGTGTTGTTTACGAAAATGAGAGGACGGAAAGCGAATGTCCGGCGCTATAACCGGATCCCAAACCAATGGTGCACATGGGCTCCAGTATCCTGCCTGAAGGAACGAATGGCGTATGAACCAATCGTTGGTCACCGGCTACCATGGGACTGCATCTCCTTACGATGCTCCACTGCCTCGTGGGTCAGACCTTTAGGTCAAAGGCTCGGGGTGTGGACCCCTAAGAGAACCACCAAATACATATGCGACACAAGTCTCATTTGATTTGTGTGAGGGCTGTGATACTGCCCGGGTGCCCAGACCGAAGCAGGTGGTTTTCTTAGGGGGCCACACCCCGAGCCTTCGACCTGAAGATCTGACCCACGAGGCAGTGGAGCATCGTGAGGAGATGCAGTCCCATGGTAGCCGGTGACCAATGATTGGTTTATACGCCATTTGTTCCTTCAGGCAGGATACTGGAGCCCATGTGCACCATTGGTTTGAAGTTGGGGTTTTCCAACTCCCCTAGGTGGACTCTCCATGTCCGCCGACCCGGTTAAAGCGCCAGACATTCGCTTTTCGTCCTCTAAATTTCGTAAATAACACCCCCGCCACGAGAAGGCAGTGAGTAGGACTTCCCTGGCAGAGGCTATATACACGTGGCCATGTGAGAGCATTTTGAGGGGGTGAGCGGACTCTCCCCACTCTCGGCCCCCAAATGCCCTGGTTCTTGACAGGACACTAAAAACTAGGTAAGGAATATCGACATACGCTGTTGTTTATTTGTTGTTTCTGACTACGCGCTCACTGATAGCAATTGGAATTAAAAGACAAATGTTATAGAAAACGTTTTACCCTCCTTTAAAACGCTAGACGTTCAGACGTAGTAATGGTGGCAGGTAGTTTTATTGCACAAGTAGGTAGCATATCCCAACCTGAGAGGCACTTAAGTGGGTCTTACAGTATCCAAGTTGAGCGGAAAGCCAATGGCGACCGACTTGAGCAACTGTGCTCGGAAAACTTTATTTTTAACAAGTACTAACTTTGAGCATCAAGGAAGGTACCGTCTGACATAGCGACCACAATCGACCCAACACTAGACACAAGCAGAAAGCATAGCTGTCAGTAATAGTTGAAGAGGCTCGACAGAAGACTCCCGTTCATTCTGGAGTACATGTTTAGACTCAGATCATGGTCTAGCAAGAGCACGTATTTGTCTCTTACTGGACGCAGGAAAGCTTGAAGATAAAAAAAATTCGAGAATACATTTCAGGAAGAATTATTGGAGTAATTAGTCAACCACAAAAGTGATATTCATCCCAAGGTAGTTTGGCATGACATCCAAACGGCTGTGGAAACAGTAGTGATATCTACCGGTAACTTAAGCAAAAGAGTTAGGAAAAACCAGATTTCAGAGTCATTTACAGAACTGATAAACTCTAGAGAACTCAGTCCGTCAGGCTCCGAACACAACGAGGAGCAGAGATAAATTAAAGGTAGATGGATAAAAAGCATACTTATTATTTATTTTAACGCATAGATATTGGTACAAGGAGGCATCAAATACATGTGCGCCACACAGATCTTATTTGATGTGTGAGGGCTGTGGGATCCGGTTAAAGCGCTCTTCGTCCTCTCATTTTCGTAAACAACACCCCCGCCACGAAAAGGCAGTGAGCAGGACTTCCCTGGCAGAGGCTATGTACTCGTGGCCATGTGAGAGCATTTCGAGAGGTTGGGCGGACTCCCCCCACTCTCGGCCGTACCAGAGCGTTTGGGGGCAATAAAAAGCATACTTATTATTTATTCATTTATTTTACACAATGATCATGAGTAGTGGTAACGAAAGCAAAAAAGAGATGGGAGATAGCAATAGGTAACAGTTAATAAAAGAATGGCTAATTGACATAAATCCCTCAAATCTTGATGAGGTTGAGAGGGCTATAGATAATCAAAAATGAGAGAGTAACAGGTTCATATGGATTAACTGCAGAAATATTTAGGGATGGTGATTCAGTTTTAGTAGCTAGATTGACCAATATCTTGGATAAAATTCGGAAACTGGTATTATCTTAAACAACAGATTCTGATCACAATATTTCATAAGAAGAAAACCAACTTTCGTCACTTGTGGTGTAGGCGAGATATCTGTCAAACCATGAGTTTACTCTGGAGTAGTTTGCTTCGTATTCTAAGAAACTGACAGGAAAACTAAAAAGCTGTCTATAAAGAAAACATTACGAAAACAATAGATTTGACTCAGTTCCAACTCGTGTAGTTGAAAAAGCAAACTGTCAGGGAAAATATTAACGAGTTATAGGTGAAATTAATAACCTCTTGAACATCATTAGCCTGAAACCAAAAGTTCTTATGGTTCTCAGAAGTTTTCAGCCTAGTAAATATCAAGAATAAATCCTATTGAACAAGCACAACTTGAGTTCAGGAATCTTTATTCTAGATAGTTATTACACTAATTTAAACACCGTGGACAACCATCACACATGTATAGATGAAAAGTAATGCGATTGTAAGGACATAACTAACCTAGTCTTAACAGCTGCCGAAGTTTACAACATATTGATGACGAGTCAGGTTGTCCCTAAATGACCTTGACGTAAGTACCGCCTGTCAGCAAACCAAGATTTTAGTAGCTATCAACAAAATTATAGGTAGATGTACCCTAGTTTTCACTTCTGTAAGTCACAACTGATCTCATTCCTTCCAGAATTACCCTTTGTTGAATCCATAGTTATTTTGTAGTTGTCTGTATTAAAGATGCCTCAAGTATACGAAATTTGACAATAGTTTAACCAGTAACAACTTATGTAATCGAAATAAGCCAAACTAATCAAATCAAGAGTCAAAAGCGAAGAGGTTAGAATGCATATTTGATACGTTGCCGATATATTGAGAAGTGGTCATTCTAAGCCGGTTAGCGGTCCTAGGAGATATGAGGCGTACCCAATCGAGATCTGTTGCGGATACGTAACCGAGCGTCTTCAGCTAGATATGTCCACTAAAACCAGTCAGGCCATCATCAAATCTTGAAGGCTTGTCGAACTATTTATTTTGGGATGTATTTACCTCTAGAGCTCACTCCCCCCTGGTAGGGTAATGATGAACCTAAGATGTGGCCAGTCAGAAATATAAATCCGACGAGTTTGTCATTGGTAAACACTTGTATGGTTAGTAAAATGACACTGAGCCTTAGCCAAACCGTCTAAAGTTGGGCCACTGAATATTAAACAGATCATCCATCCTTGTCAAGGTCAAGGTCAATTAATCGTATATCATTGTAGCGGTAGATAAATCCCCAAAATAAATAACTCTGTAAGTTTTCGACATCGGATGCTGACCACATTATTTTTAATGGACTCATCCAGCTGAAGGCGCTCCGTCATGCATTAGCACCAGATCACGTGTGGGAACGCCGTGCTCAACATCTACTGCAATCGCTAGTCAGATTAGTTCAGACGATCCTCGATATATTGATAGCTTATCAAGTATATCTTCGATCTCCTCACTTCTGTCTTTTGATTTTACTTGGTGGGTACGCTTCATATTAGAAGGTGTTACTGGTTAAAGCGTTGTCAAACTCCGAATACCTATGGCATTTTCATTGGTGAGCCTGACGTGATCTGATACACTAAATTGCAAACTGAGAGTCTGTTCCTTTTTGGGACTTTATATATCATTGTCTTATTTTAAGTTTTCATACATTGTGATATTTTCCCGTGATTTTGGATATATATATATTTCCCACTCGTCCATTCTCGTACTCAATATATCACTATGACTGAACAGACACCTAATGTATTTAAGTTAAAGACTGTGTCCCCACCCTCCTTCCAACTTATGTCTTTCTGGCCAGATAACATCGGAGCCTGGTTTTGCTACGCAGAAGCCGACTTCTACGAGCACGGCGTGAACGACACACGCGCAGTAGTGAAGGCACTACCGCGCAAATTTAACAGGTACGTAACATCTAGTATGTTTACTACTGATGTTTCAGAACCCTACGAAGCTCCTAAAAGGTCCATCCTTAAACGCAGAGATCTAACCTATCGACAAAGGTTAGACCAACTCCTTAACAACATCGACTTGCAACATGGTTCTGCCACAGACATGTTGCAAAGAATGAGAGAAGTTATTGGCCAAAGAACCTTCTATGATGGCCTGTTCAAACAGCTTTTCTTATCAAAACTTCCTCAACAGGTGCAAGCTGTGCTGGCCTTGTTCCAAAACAACGCAGTGGACGAGCTGGCCGCATCTGCCGACCGCATCCTCAAAATCACTAAATCTTCTAACGCCGAGGTTTTTCAGTCAAAGAAAAGCCTCAAACGTCCCCGAATGACATAACAGTTATGTCATACATTATCTTAAACTCCATAACGACCGTAAACGGTCACACACCTCACGAAGAAGCACTTCACGCAGGCGATCTGTATCTAGACCTCGAGAGACGGATAATCCTGGCTGGTGCTGGCATCTTAACCAGTATGGAATTTCAGAAAACCCTTCAATTTTTTTCAACTCAAAATCGGCCGACACGAAAAAGGTTTCGGGAAACTTTCAAGCCGACACACGTTAAAGGCAACCGTAGCCAGCGAACATAGCCGTCTATTATATGTCACTGATGTGATAACGAGAGTTCGCTATCTCGTCGATACTGGCGCAGAAGTTAGCGTTCTCCTAGCGAATTCCAACGACCGGCTTCACGAATCGGTTTTAAATCTACAGGTGGCAGACAGAAAGTTTATCGCTACTTATGGTAAAAGATACGTTTATCTTAACGTGTGTTTACGCAAACCTATTCATTGGATTTTTGTTGTTGCAGATGTTTCTATACCAATCATTGGTATGGACCTTCTACAGCACCACAACTTATTTATCGATACGCGCGAACGGAGGCTAGTAGATGGAAATACTAATTTATCTGTTTGCGCAACTTCTTTTTCTGGTTTCAGGTCATCCCCAGTCACACACTATAGACCCATTCTATCAACCAATACTCGATAAGTATTCTGGCATTTACCGACAACAACCGAAATTGCCGTGTGTAACCAGCAACGTTACTCATCACATGACGAATACAGGATCACCTGTATTCTCCAAAGCACGCCGACTGGCCCCCGAAAAGTTAAAGTTGGCGACAGCAACGATTCGCGTCCAACTGGTGACTATCGGTGATTGAATGCGAAAACCATTCCCGATCGTTACCCGTCGCCTCACATTCACGATTTGACAGCTACCTTGAAAGTTACAACTGTCTTTTCGAAAATTCACCTGGTTAAAGTGTATAACCAAATTTCTATGGCCACTGACGACATTCCAAAAACCGTTATTATAACGCCCTTCTGATACTATGAATTGTCATTGAAGTGTTCCGGAGACCTTACCTTTTTTCCAGAAAGCGTTGTTTTAGACCGGTTGTCAGATATCCCAAAAGCGTCGTTGTGACTGTTGAATATCAAGTGAGATATAATGATCGTGTGGTTCGTTTCGCTCGAGTGCACCGGAGGAAAATTTGCGTGAATATGGTTCCCTCTAAATAAGCGGCTTTAAGACGATCAATTCCGATGTTGTCGTTAGTTCTGTTCCTATCAATGATAAAACGCGTTGGTTTACGATGAAGAACTATGGAGTGTTGTTTCTGTGCTGCTTCAAGAGGTCTTCGAAATGAGTCGCGCAGTACAAAACAGTGTGCAGGGATTCATAAGGTAAAAAATGTACAACTTTTCAAATGAGATACATGTTAAGAATGTAGGTTATTGACTAATTTAACTCTAACAACTTGTGCGTCACCGAGTATATTTGCTAGGTAAGGTATTATAGAACTTCTATACTTTTGCTTGCATGCTTGGATTTTAATGTAATTTCGTCTCGTTCTACCAGAAGATATACAAGGAGAAAGATATGGGTGAAGGGGATGGTTAGTATCTGACAAAATAACACCTGCCAGGAGTTTGCATGACTGTAGATGTCTATCCACAACCATATTTATTATGATCTCGACAGATTCACCACACACCTTGCTAAATGCCTTCAGCATTCTCCACAGTACAGCAAAGTCTTTTCTCAAAAGCCCGGGAAATAATAATGGAGAACAGTAATGAATAATAGGTAATATGCAAGAATTGACAAATTGTAAGAGTAAATTACGAGTGATCCCAAGAGCATGCAATCTCTTCATGTAGTAAGTCAGACAGAAAACCTTCTTTGATAAAAATAAAACGTGAGAAGACCAAGAGAGATCGGAGGAAAAGGTAACACCAAGATAATTGAATGTCGACACTGTGTTTATCAATGAGTCGCCAATGGCACAAGCATCATGGGATCTCAAAATGGTGTTTAAATACCGATCATGTTTCATGCTAAAGTTAACAGATTTACATTTAGACGGATTAAGTATGAGACCATTAACAACAGACCAACAATCAATACGAAACAAAAACTCATTCATTTCTATAGGATGTAAAGAGGAAGAGATAGGCATACATACAGTGAGATTATCTGCATATTTCACAAAAGTGTTTACTGTGGAAGATGGCAGATCATGCGGAAAAAAAGAGAAAAGAAGAAGTGAAAGAATAGCTCCTTATGGTACACCTTCATAAGACAGTATAGACTCTGAACACTGTGTACTGTTCCCTTCCAGAGAAGTAGGAACAGCCAGTTGGTTACTCAGCTGTCAGTGTTGACGCTGATTAACTTGTTAAGTAAACGTTGTCTTGATATAGAATCAAAAGCAGAAGTATAGTCCAGGAAAGCGCATCGAACATACTTCTTACCCTTTCTTAGGTTGAACACTATATTATGATGCAGAACAGCAGCAGCATCTAAGGTGCTTCTTTCGCATCTGTAAGCAAACTGATACGGGTCAATGTGCTCTTTTATAGCAGGCTGAAGTGACAGTGTCAATAATTTTTCCATTGTTTTGAGGAAGGGTGAAGTTATAGCAATAGGTCTAAATTTCACATCCTTATCACCATATACTTTCTTGGGTACATGGATTATCTTCATCTTTCTCCACATTTTCGTTTTGAGATTAGAAGAGAAGGATTTGTTAAATATAATAGTGAATGGATAACATGGGACGTCAGAACACTTTTTGAAAAGGAGGTTTAGGATACCATCAGGTCCTAAACATCGAGATGAATTTAGTGACTGGAGACATCTTCGGACATCAGTTCCAGTGAAACTAGGAACACAGCTATTCTTTAAACCCGTGGATAAAGGGAGCATTACATCAGATGACTGACGTAAAAAAGACTTATTTAAGTCACAAACATTCAGCTGGTTGTCGCCCCTAATCTGCCTGTCACCACTAAGTTCTTTAAAGAGTTTCCACACACTTGGAGAGTTTTTACAGGACAAGAGTTTTTGAGTAAACATAGAGTTGAGGCGACTAATCTCGTGGTTTATCAGACCATTTAGCTTACGAACTTCACTAGAGTTTCTCTCCTTGTGCATTCTTTCTTTCGCCCTTCGTAGTCGTTTTAGCTGTGAAGATGTAAGTCTATCAAAACTTACAAAAATAGTTTCAGTGGGACAACAAATATCAAAATAGAATTTACGGTAACAAGTGATAACATCAGAAATGATTTCCAGTGTGTCATCTGTAAATAATTCCCAG